CTCTGTCTGGCAACACTTGCCAACAAGAGTGGCTGGCAACGTCAAAAAAGAAAAGGCGCGAAAGTTCGTTGGATTTTGTCCGGGTGTTGCCCGAGGATGTCTGTGACAGTTCTAACCTTTTCTAATAAAGTTCTTTTTTGTTACTGTTCGTGTTTGCCTGCTTAATGTTAGATCTAAACATCAGTAGGATTGAATGACAAACAGTAATTTTTGATTCTTCAAAAATTCTAAAATTATAATACAGAATTTAAATTCTTTTGTTAATTTTGCAAATGCAAAGAAGTGACAAATTTCTATAATTCAAAGAGAATATAAATGAATAATGTATCTGCAAAATTTATAATTACCACAAAGATATTAACTGCAACTGTTGTTTTTAATTCCAGATGTTTGATTAAATTACGATAAATACAAAATGTTAAAAATTTGCTGAATTACCTGTGAATGTATAATTCTCGATTGTTTGGAAGATCATAGTTTATCACCAGGGAAACCTGTTGGACATCAATGCCTCTGGCCCAAACGTCCGTAGTTATCAGAACACGGCTGAAGGAGGAAAATTTATACAATTCTAAATTTGTATCGAAACCAAAGTATGCAGAAATTCAAAACTTTATTTACCTTTGACCGGATCTGAATTCTTTCATGATGGCATCTCTCTCTTTTTGGGGCATGTCTCCATGCATCGAAGACACGGTAAAATTTGCCTCTCTCATCTTCTCTGTCAGCCAATCCACCTAAAATAAGCAGGTGAAAAACATTAACAATAGCAGACAAAGAAATTGGTTTTAACAGATTATAAAATTTAATGTATATGACATGAAATTAAATGTTTACTCTGAATCAGTTAGGCAAATTATATGGAACCTTGGACAGATATATTAGACACCCCTTAGAAAATGATTATTAGAAGATGCAAAGTTGGACATATGGGCAGTAATGGTATGTCCATTACACTTCATTAACATAATTTAACAAAGAAATTATAATGAAAGAAGATAGAAGGTAGAAATGAAGTGAAATGAGAAAATTTGGCTAGTGTCATAACTTACATGCTGGAAGGTGCACCATAAGATGTGGTGTGGTACAAGTGCAAAGATTATTTATGGTTATATTATTGTAAAATAAAAATAATACCTAGGGCTTGGTAATAATCAGAAACAGTGTGTGGGTAGATTGTGCATTTGCATTCACAAGAAATGTCTAATTCCATAATCTCAAAATACATGAAACTTTCACAATTGCAAGCATTAAAATGGTACTGGGAGGCAGGAAATACTTCAAAAACAAATTTAAAAGTGGGCAAAAGAAGATTATAACTTTAAGCGAAGACCAAATTATAGCAAGAGTGACTTTATGAGACTGCACAAAATCCTCTAAAAAATCTCAGCTATTATGTGTCTACAAGATTACTGTTTCACACAAACAGGAAGAACGACATCTCCCACCAGCTGCCTAGAGTTGAAAGTACACAAAAAATTGCACCAGGCTCCAGGAGACCACAAAAAGAAACACCTATTATGATCAAAAATACAAACTGGATTGTTGCTGGCTGGGACACGGTTATGTGGTTGGATGCATCCAATCCCCAATGTAGCCCACCACATTTACTATGCTCTAGATCAGCAGTCACCAACTGGTGGTCCGTGGAGAAATTTGGACATCAATCAACTCAAGGTTATGTGAAGTATTACAAAAAAAATGCAAAATGCTCGGTCACTTTTTCTCACTCATTGGGGTTTTTTATTCAAACCTGAAACCAAACACAAAATGACTTATCAGTAAATAATCAACAATAAATACTGTTGCAAGTGCAATTGTTGTCCTTCAAGGAAAAGAGCCAAGAATCCATAAACTTATTTCAAACAAGCAGCAACTTCACACTAATTTGTTATAATTAAACAAGGGAATTTCATATTAATAAAGTAAAAAAAAAAAAACTTATGATTATTATTCTATAGATGTTTGCATCATTTAAAAAATTGATGATAGTGGTCTGTGGGATTTAAAATTGTGAGTTTAGTAGATCGTGAGGTCAGACAGGTTGGTGACTGCTGCTCAAAATTACACACATTCAGCTATAAAGTTTTAGTACATTCTTAAAAGATATCCTAAGTATAGATGTAGTAACATTGTTGCATTGCAGTTTTTTGGAATAACCCAGATTTTGGTACATTTGATGTCGACCAGGACAAATATACAATTCAAAATGTATTATACTCACAAGGCAGCATCTTGCCCCAGGATCATATGTCTCTCAAGATTTAGAAAACCATTCACACATAAGAGTCAAATGGATACATGCCAGAAAGTCAGCGATATTAGTCTTCAAAATTATTTAACAAAGAAATCCCAGATTATTATTTTCATTAAGACAACACACCTCGTCCCAAATTCCACAAAGTAACGTGGCAGTTTAAGCAACAATAACATGCAGCTGGCTTAGTCCCCAAAACTACAGTCGACCCCCCTATAATTATGGTCCCTATAATTACGATTCCTATAAAACTATGAAAAAATATACGTATTTTGGAAATGTTGAGTCGGATTAGTGTAGAATTGATTAATTTTATGGAAGAAAACCTTTCAATCAGCCGTAGTCCATAAACTTGACACGTGTCGGGCTGTGATTGGAACGACTTGTAAGAAATCGGATTCCTAATAAATTGGAACTTATCTATATCTTATAGGGGGGTCGACTGTATTGTTAACCAAATGATCATGACACATTTTACAAAAGAGGGCTCAAAATACAAGCACAAACAACCACCCAAAAAAATTCCAAAGATAGGTTCAACGTATGGACAGCAATTTCAATAGACACATTATAATCTTATTGTTTCTGTGCCAAAAAGCATAAATAAAGGCCAAAAGTGGCACAACAAAATCTTAACTGCCAATAATAAATGCTTTTAAAAGCATTTATATATGCCATTTATTCAATTCTACAATCTATGAATTTTTCAACTATAATTTACAGTATTTTAAAATCTCTTAATTTTTAACCATTTGTACAATTCAGAAAAATATGATATTATGGGGGGAAGCTTGTTTATTGCTTACAACTTTAAAAGAGTCAACTGGTGTATGTAAAGTTTTTAAATGCAGCTTTTTCCCATTAATTTTAGATAATTTTTAAACAAAAAACTTAATACCCAAAAAAATATATTGCTAGTTTCAACTGGGACATTTTCATTTTTAAAATCAATATTAAAAATGAAATTTTTACAAAAACAACATAGCTTAAATGTAATTGAGTAAAATTGGAATCGTTTTGAGATAAACTTGATTTTTTTTAATCTAAATTTTTTCATTTCTATGAATATTTACCACCAGCACTTATTTTGATAGCAAGAACCAAAACTAGAAAATTTTTCGATACTAAATTATCTTACTTTAATTTCACATATACAAAATACTAAGTACTAAATTTTGGTTTGATCTTACCTTTCGTTTGGTATTACAAAATATAACTGCCTGAGTTATCGTTAGTGTATCGTAGAGATCACACAGGGTATCAAATTTCCATTCTTCTCTTTCCACAGCAACGAAGAACTGCTTGATTCCTTCTAGTGTCAATTCATCACTGAAATAATTCAAATATTTTTATTATATTTACTATTGTAAATATGGACAAGTCTACGAGAATGAAAACACATACCGTTTGACCAGAATGCGAATTGGGTCGGTCATAAATTTGCTCGTCATCTCTAGTATTTCGTGGGGCAGGGTGGCAGATATCAGCACGACTTGGGTGCAGGGAGGAAGATATCTGTACACATCATATATCTGTTCCTTAAAACCTAGAATAATAAGATATTTTAGTCTGACTATTTTTTGTTAAATTTGTTGTAATATCCTAAAATCAAAAAGAGTTTTAAGTTATAAATGATTGTAAAAATTCATTTTGTAAAATTGATGTCACTAAAAATAATTCAATATTTCAAAAAATTGAAATGTTACAATAAAAACTGAAACAGATGTTTAAAACTGTTGCCTTTCAAAATGAATTGAATGGAGGTGTTCTCATAGATTGCTGCCTTATGATAACAACAATCAGAATAATAGTAATGTCTATCTACGTACACAATAATTTATTTTAAATATAAGCCCGACGACACAAGCATTATTAATGGTTAAATGCTCAAACAATTTAAAATATATTATGGGAAATCAATTTTCTTTGCTGAATGACATTTTCACTATATAAATTTTTAAATGCCATTTAGAAATCATATTTCTATTTCATACACTTCAAAATTATTATTTTAATCAGAAATGATTTATTTTTCTACTACAATAAAAAATAAAATTAAAAAAAAGTTACTATGAAAAATACTTTTTATTACCAAATACAGTCAGCCTCCACATTGAAACACAAAAATAAATAAACAAATACACTGTACAGCAACAGCAAATTTTATAAATTTAAAACTACAGTATCAACATTTTAGGCTAACACACACACACACAATATTTAGATAGCAATAAAATTATTAAAGTTTATAAAACAGTTTTATACAGTACTGTGTTTTAAACTTTAATAATAAAATATGCAATTAAAGCAAGATATGCTGCTTCTAGCTAGTACCTTAATTCAATGTTTGAAATATCATTCTAACGAGATTCCTATCATTTATAGTGTCATTATGTCTACAGTAAAATAGCATCATGCTTAAGGTAGATCTGTTGGGGCCATCTCTATTGGTTGTTATATCTTGGTTGATCAACATAAATCGTGTCTATTGTGATGTGCATGTGCATAAGCTCTAGTATGTGAAATTAAATAATTACCCTTGTTCAGCATTTCGTCTGCTTCATCCAACACTAGCATCTTTATGGAACGGGTTCTTAAATTTCTTCTTCTTATCATATCTGAAAAAAGTGAAGAATTCCTTGAGAATTATCATCACTGTTGCTGCAAAATAGTAAAAACAAACCATATACTTAATAATTCAATTTATCAGTCATACAATAGGATAATTAGAAATTAATTTTTTCTGTTTGTCAAAAATTTATAAAAATAACAGGCCAACAATATAATGTACAGTACAATCATTTAATTAAGAATTTATCTAAATATTAATATATAGTAACCCATTTCTTCTACATTATTAGAGTGAAATGCTAAATCTCAATACGATCATATCTTTCTTTGACTACAAATAATTTGAAGATCAAGTAATTCCTGACCATGTGTCAGAGACAATATAAAATGGTAGAGCAGCATCTAACAAGTAACTTATTGATTGATTTTCTGGTACATTCTAATCTTAAGAGTTTAAACCCTCTTTTGGAATTGCACTAGACGTACAAAATTAAAACTGAAAGAAATAAGGTGCAACCACACATCCTCTGCTAAAAGTATCACATTCAATATTGACATAACATAGAATACAATGTCGGTAAAGCTCTCTCAAAATTAGGAAGCATTGTGGAATAGATTATTATCATTCTACATTTTCAATATTGCTCTTTAACCACACAAAGGAAATTTTCATTGTATTTATATAAATACATAAAAAGTTAGAAACCACTCAATATTCAAACCATTTGAGATAAAAGGTATGATCTTAATGAAATTCAATTTCTTATAATAAAAAATTATATTTTGTTTTGTTATATTTTATTATCTCTACATGGCATTTAAGTGTTTTAAGTTACAAAAGCTACATTGTATATTCAGTAGAAGTAATGTTGCAATAAAGTTAAAAATCATGATAGTGGAATTGCCAGTATAAAAATCTAATGTAGAAAAAATAATTACATGTATTGATCAAAATTGAAATGGCTAAGATAGAAATCACAAAGACAATTTTATTATCTTATTTAAAAAACTTTGATTCCAGACAATGTTGAAATCAATAAATTACAAATGTTCCCAATACAATTTCAACGAAATTTTAAAAAATGCAAGTAAAGATTTAAGATGATCAATACAAAACCTTCTTCACTTATTTCTAGCTGCTTCTGTATTGATCATCTTAAAATAGTTCTAGCTACAAATGCGTAGAAGTCTAAAGATTTAAAATGAATGAAGAGTAAGTTTTTGTTTAATTATAAATATGTAGAATACTTATGAAAAATATAGTGCTATTTTGTATAATTCTATGAAAACATTAATAGTTTAAAATTACTCAAACTAAATAATTCAAAAATATAAAATGATATTTGAGAAAATTAAATACTGACACAATGATAAACATGTATGGTAGACTCTCAATACTGAAATGCAGTGTCAATTGCATTGGATGCATTCATCCAACACAGTTGACAGGAGGATACTAAATTACATCAAGTAAATCTCAATACAATATGGGTGTGACAAATATAGAAACCAACTTCAATCTTTGAATAAGAGCCACAAGAATCTATTAAGAAGGATTTTTCCACAATAGCTTTAGAAGTGCATGCTACTGACCATCAGATTCAAACCCACCCAGACAGAGCATATCTTCATCACACCTGGGACAAAGCCCAACTTAAATACCTGGAAAGAATTGACATTTACATGATCAGTAAAAATATTTTGGCTATAAATTATAAAGAAATGGACACCATATCACATGAATGGAAGTTTAGTTTTCCAGTAACATGGTGGATTCCATCATATGCAAGAAGTTACATCCAATCAAATAAACATTCTTTTTAGTTCAAATTTTTAAAATTCTATTTTATGTTTGTCATTAATTTTGTTGTAAACCCAATGATGGCCAACAAAGTCAGTTGAAAACATTAGTTTTATTAGTGTTTGTCCTTTTCTGTTGGATTTTTGCTTATTTTGGTAATTTCTTACAAATGGTAGATTTCTTCAGCAAGAATTTTTATTTTAAATAATAAAATTATAGTTAAGCATAATTTAATTAATGGTTTCTTAGAATTATTGTTTTTGTTTTCCATTCTCCTAAAAATGATGCATTGAGGTTCCACTATAATTTCCACAACTCAAAACATTTCTCTCTGTCCCTTTCACTTGAAGTTAACAAGAGTCTACTGTATTTGATTTAACACATCCATGGAAAGGAAACAAATGAAAGTAAATTTAAAAACCTGCAAAGTCACAGAATAAGAGAGATGTTACCTCTCTTCTAAGAACTCTATACTTTGTTTCATCTAAGAATGCACCAAGTCAAGAAAAAACCTTACAGCATTCATATCATTTTGTGATATGAATGCTGATTTGTCAACTTGCTTTTGCTACCTGCAGATACATGTATAACACTGGCAATGTGCCAATGACTGTATAAAGTTTAATAATTACTCTAGCAAACAGTGTACTGTCTGTAACTTTTTGCATCTTGCAGCTACACAGTTTACTACAGAGTGCTGTTTATACTGAAGTCATTCAAATAATAGTCATTACTATTATTAAAACAGTCAAGTTTTTCTTGTGACTATATTTCACAACAAAGTTAAATCCAGTATGCTGGGTAAAAACATCAATTTTGTGTGTTGTATGCTAATTGCATTATATTTTTTAGAATGATTACTAATCTTGTACTTGTGAACATATTTTTCTCTAATTAAACATTCTAGCCTACATTCAAGTCCATATATGTTCATAAAACTTGTGACTAGTGTTCAAGGACAACCATTATTTCTATTCTTTGTGAATCAATTGTAACTATTAATGAATCTACAATCATCGCTAAACCCGATGTAATAGCTAATCTCCAAACGTGCGCCGTAAATCCATCGGGCTAGTTTTATGGCTAATTACTATATTAATTACATAACGAATTTGGTACTAGAGGTAAGCGTTAGGCGCCATCTCTTATTAATATTAATAATTATAAATAAATTAATTAATTTAAATAATTTAGAACCGCTGGGAGAAAAAATCGGCCCGGAGCGGGACTCGAACCCACAACTCCTGCTTACCGTGCAGATGCGTTGCCAGTTACGCTACCCGGACCTCCAGTACNCCCCAGCCGGCATTGTAATAACCGTCGATGGTTACATAGTTATACGCTGGAAGAGGAGATCGTACTGGAGGTCCGGGTAGCGTAACTGGCAACGCATCTGCACGGTAAGCAGGAGTTGTGGGTTCGAGTCCCGCTCCGGGCCGATTTTTTCTCCCAGCGGTTCTAAATTATTTAAATTAATTAATTTATTTATAATTATTAATATTGATAAGAGATGGCGCCTAACGCTTACCTCTAGTACCAAATTCGTTATGTAATTAATATAGTAATTAGCCATAAAACTAGCCCGATGGATTTACGGCGTACGTTTGGAGATTAACTATTAATGAAATAAATCCCATATCCTCATCATTCAAAAATATGGGATTAGGCCTATTCTAGTCCCTTCCTCTCAAACTCAAGTGGTTCTGCTCCTTCTGTCTTCTCTATGGTCTAAAATACATTTTAGATCTACCAAAAATTTGATAGAATTAACAATGCCAAATAGAATGTACAGTTTTGCAGTTTACAGTAAGCCTTATTATCCTACAATAGGCACCATGCTTACTATTAAAACTATTACAAAATGGCATATTTTCAATACTACGACTCATTGAAATTTGTCTAGATTTCTTTTAGCCAATCAAAACATTTATTATATCGGAATCATCATAACTGTCTTTTAAAATTGTTAGGATTTTACATATGATGTAATGAATTTCCCTTATCCACCCGACGAATAAAAAAACTATCGGATGGTACGAGTATTGTTCATATTGCTTTTCCTGCATAAGTAGATAGTAGCATAACATAAAAAATTATGCTCTAATTTACTCACAGGTTAACTTTATAAACACTATGCTTGCCCAAATATTCTCTCTCTTTCTTTAAAAATCTGGTAACAAGTTGCTTACCTTTCCCAGCAACATTTAAAACTGCATGTGTGGCATCATCTGTTATGATATTTTTATTCTTAAAAACTTTTTATATTTTTAATTATTATAAAATGGCAAAAAGCATAATTTTGAGGATAGGAATAGTTTATAAAAAATTGTAAATGTTAATAACAAGAAAAATTGTCATTAAGTCTGATCCTACTGGAGATACACCCTTCATCCCCACCCCTCGACTGTCAATCACCATAATTTAATAGCATAAATTTCCTTAATAAACAAACCACCCTTGCCAAACTTCAGAAGTTTTTGACAAAAAGCATGGGAGTTATTAAGCTTCAAAGAGAGTGAACAAAATCATGCCACATGCACACTAACCTCCATACATACAGAAAAAACCCCAACATTTTTTTTACATTTCTCAACATTTCAAGGTCCCCAGAGTCTAGAAATGTAGAAATCTGGGAGGTCATTTTTTTGCCAGATCACCATACTTTCCCTCTGTTATATATAACGGGCAGAAAAGTAAAAAAACCACCATACTATTTCTTAGATTATCATTTTATGGTATCACGTTATATAAAGGTCATTTTAACCTTGGCACAGTAATAATAGAGTAATAAGTAATAAAATTCTGTCACAGATTTTTGTATAAATACACAGTATGACCTGATGCTCTATTCTACATTAACACAGATACCAGGCATCCATATTGTTACAGTGTAAAAATATGAAAAAGCAGATTAAATAAATTGAAGTGATTCTGAGAAGAAAGCTTCAATTAGAAAAAAATTATTTAAGCGAACAACTCAGAAGATATCATACCAGTATTACTTTTTCATATACCCATATATGGAAATTAAGCAGAGTAACAATGTCATGTAATGTGAAAGTAGTCTTATTCTCAAAAAACCTATGTTGCCAATCTTTGATGATTTCCATTTATACTAAGAATTTAAGCAAAAATAACCCCAAAAATATTGGCAAAAGTTATTTAATACTTGTATTCAAAAAGAGTAATACCAATGCACTTTTCTCTATTTTGTTTATTTTAGATTAATTGGAAGCAAGGGATCAGACAGAGATCCAGCTAGAGCAAAAGTCAATGTGTCCACAAGGTAAACGGCAGTTGCGAGCTCAAGTTCTTTTCTTTCAGAATTTTCTAAATTATTTAATAAATATTAATTATAATTATTAAATTTAATAAGAGATGGTGCGTAAAGCCTACCTCTAGTGCCAGATTACTTGGAATTTAATAATTATTAGTAGTGGTAATGTAGCATGACCTGGTAATTATTTGGCTTAAACTATACTAATTTACATATTATATTTTTTATTATATTATTGTCAACTAAGGACTTATAATATTAATAGGACTATTATACTGGTGTGCCAATGTTTGCAAAGGACGGGAATTCTTATTCAGAAAAAATAAATTTATTTTTTACCTGGTTGTTTTCCCTGTACACACAATACACATGATATTTGTGTTTCAGACCACTAGGTCCCTCTTCAGCAAGTTTACCACAATAACGTGCTAAAAAACAAGACGTATAATATTTTAAAAATTACAATACTTTAAAACCAGGCAATAATGTATTCAATTTACATTTTTCTTATAGCTAATTACATCAAAATATGCATAAATCACATTCAGAAGATTCACAATTATAATTTTATTTGAATACATAAAATAGTGGTCTGAAACACAAACATCATGTGTATTGTGTGTACAGGGAAAACAACCAGGTGAAAAATAAAAAATTTATTTTTTCTGACTATGAATTCCCCTCCTTTGCAAACATTGGCACACCAGTATAATAGTCCTATTAATATTATAAGTCCTTAGTTGACAATAATATAATAAAATACTATAATATAAGGACAATTGAATTAATAGTTACATGATACATATTTACATAATACTAATTACATATTTAAAAAATCTTTTTTAGACCTTACCAAAAACTCTTCCGGGTGTTCCAGATACGACATGCTGTCCGTAGTCCAGTTTACGAATATCTTCTCCAAGATTAGTTCCTCCAATACAGGCATGACACTGGACACTCATGTAATCACCCAATGCCAAAATAACCTAAAATTATTTAACACAATTAACAGAATATTTAATCTTTTATAATGCCACACAATATCAATGCTTTATGCAAGTGACACATTTTCTGTATTTCTGATCATTTTTAATTAAGTTTTACTTAATTTTAGATTTTATGTTTTATAAATTAGAAATATAAATAAGCTAGATATATAATTTTAAGTAAAATTATTCTTACATCTATTGATACAATTTATCCTCAAAAAATAAAAAATGTTTTAAGAAAGTATATATGAGGGGAGTCCAATATTAAAAAGGTACAAGCCAAAATTACACTAATGCTTATAATTAAAGAAAATATTTAATACATTCCACAAAAACTACATACTTTTGTTTATTTCTCGACATAATTGCCATGAACATTGAGACATTTATCCCTGCGTGACACTAGTTTGACATTCCTTCACAATACTGTCGCTTGTCAAGTTGCTCAAAGTAGTCCAGAACAGTGTCTTCTAATTCCTCCTAATCTGCTAAGCATTTTCCCACCAAAAATTTCTTTAAAGGCCCGAATAAATGAAAATCAAGGGGGCTAAATCTGGACTATATGGAGGATGTTGCAGGACCTCCGCTGCACCAACTAGTTTGCTTTGATTTGACAGGTGGAGTATAGTCCAGATTTAGCCCCTTTAGATTTTCATTTATTCGGACCTTTAAAAAAGTTTTGGCGAGGAAATGCTTTGTGGATCAGGAGGAATTGGAAGACACCGTTCTGGACTACTTCAAGCAATTTGACAAGCGACAGTATTGTGAAGGGATGTTCAAACTAGTGTCACGCTGAGATTAATGTCTCAATGTTCACGGCAATTATATCAAGAAATAAACAAAAGTATGTAGTTTTTGGGGAATGTATTAGATATTTTAGTCTGAGATTTTGGTCTGTACCTTTTAATATCGAACTCCTCCTTGTATATCAATTTTTTCTCCTTGATACATACTAATATATTCCTTTGTTGATCTCTGATAAACTGAATATTTTAAAGAACTGAACTAACATGTATTTTTTAATTGAAGTAAATTTGTGCAAAGTTGAAATTCAGTTTTTGTTTTAAAAAAGTACAGAAATACAATTAAATTGTTTCAAGACTGCAATCAAATATTAACTACCTAGATATAAAGAAAGCTTTTGCTAATGTTTCTCATAAGTTGCTTTTAAATAAATTACATAAATTGCGGTTTAAGAGATTTGAATCTTACTGGTACGAAATTCTGTAAGATATTTCTGACATTGTAAATGAAGAAATACAGGCTATCCAGGATAATCTTATAAAAACATGCTGTGTAGAAATTTTATCATCATCAAATAGATTAAGTGTATCAATTATTAAATTTGAAAATGAGAATATTAGAAAATAAATAAAATCATCATAATGTAAAAACTAAACAAGCTTTTAAAAAATTATATATATTGTTCAATTTTTTATAGCATGCGATTCAATATATAAATAATCATTATGATTTCAGGAAGAAATGTTTGTAATTTTGTTTGCTTATCCTGATGTTCATCTTAAATAAAAATAAGTAAAAAACAAGTTATTTATTGATATCAATTATTATGTAATCATTAATTTTTAGTGTAATTATTTTAAAATTAACTTGTAATGCATTTTTATTGCATTGAAGTATACTTGTGTATTCTGTGTAATTAAAAAATTTAAAGAATTTGACTATGTAAAAAATATTTCACTATGTGATTAGCTGATAAGTTACTAAAATGATAATTATAACAATATCGATATAAATATCATTTTCTGATATTAAGTTATGTATTAAAAAGCTGAGTATGTAGTGAAGATTTCTTCGGACGTGGGCGTAGGAATCGTCCCCAACCAGTGCAGTGATTAATTGAGTAAGGTTATATCCAAATTTAAATACATCTGGAAGTGAAGACTTGCTCAGGGTCTGGGTGGCGCAACTGGCAAGCACACCGCATGGTAAGTGGAGGTTGCGGGGTCAAGCCCCAGCCCAGATCAGCTCTTTCATTCCAGAAGGTTCTAATTTATTTAACAAATTATTAAAATTATAATTATTAATTTAATCAAGAGATGGTGCCTAATATCTCCTTCTAGTGACAAATTGCTTTATAATAATTTAATTAGCCAAATTCTAGCCTGATCATTCAGATGATTGTTGGTTGTGTCCGTATTAAAAAGATATTCAAATATTTTCTATACAAGATACACAACCAATTAGTGTAACAGATTATAATTGAAAAAAATTGAGAAGAAATCAATCAAAATGATTCAAAATATGCACAATTTGTGGACAATTTAGTTGCATTTTAATTGTGGAAAAACACCTTTGTGTTTTTTTCCACAATTAAAACACAACTAAATTAAGTTTGATAGAATCAAAACTGGGATTAGTCCATTTGAAATCTATCAAAAATTGGAATCTTTGACACACCTGAAGCAGGCTAATTAAAAAAGAATTGAAAACGTTTATCAGAACTGAAATTGTTAAGTATAAATCATTAAAATTTGTAGATCAGCAGTTCCCAACTTATATTTATCACAGAACCCTTTTCACCTTAGTAAAAAAATATTATAACTCTGACAATTTTTAACGATTATAGATTAAACAGCAAATAGAAACTCCAAAAACAATTTATTGAAAAAGAAAAGAAGAAAAAACAGACTGAATTAATAATGGAAAGCAAACATTACTATTAAACTAATCATCAATGTGAAGGGTTAAACTTCTTTTCTTTCAATATTTTAAAGAGTGCTAGTGTCTGAATTTGTATCCTTGTTTGTATCCTCCCTTTAGGACTCCTTGTCAGTAGAAACATTTGAAATACTTTAAATAAAATTGCCAGGACATATATGACATTTATAGGGAAAATATATTTTCCTATTAAATATAATTTATTTAAAGTAATTATTACTTTTAATTTGCTGTGCTACTTCTAGATGACTTTTGTAACTATTTTACATTTTTTGGTAAATGGTAGCCTACAAAGAAAGGTCGACTTCTTAAATGGAATTGTTATTGCCTCGTAAAGTGTGTTAAAAGACAAAAAATGAATTAAGACTCATCTCTGCATGTATAGTCAAAGAAAAATATATTTTTTTCTATAAAAACATTTGAAATACTTTCTACATTTTTTTTCAAAACTCTTCTCTCAAACAATGCTCCATGATTTTTTAATTTGGAATATGCAAAATACTAAAAGCACTATAAATTTATATGAGCCCCACTATACTTTTATATGAAAAATATTTTTAAAATATCACAAAATGATTGCAGTATGGGCCTGAAGACATGGCAAAACTCTAATAATCTTCGACTGATATGCCCACTTGTACACTATATCATTTTGATACAACACACAGCAGATGATGAGACATTAATTAAGTATGCCATTTTGTTGAATTGACAACAAGCTTTAAAACTTTATATGTCAAATTTTCTGAAGGTGTTAACATCATAGATAATTTTACACTTAAATATGCTGAATTTTGTCCCAAAAAAGAGCATGTGCAAAAAGTTTTAATTTATTACTTTATTTTGAAGAAAAGTGCTGCTGAAAGTTATTGTATACTTCAGGGGAAGGTTATGGTAAACATGCCCGATCTCAAGATACTTGTGAATGTTCATTTGAACATTTTAAACATGATGATTTCGATATGAAAGACAAAGAATGTCCAGGTCAACCAAAAATGTTTGAAGACCAACAGTTACAAGCATTATTGGATGAAAATGAATGTCAAACTCAAAAACAACTTGTAGAAAAATTAAATGTTGCCCAGCAAACAATTTCCAATTGTTTACAAGCAATGAAAAAGATTTTAAAAAAAGGAAAATGGGTGTCACATCAACTGAACAAAAGACAAACAGAAAACCAAAAAGTCGTCAGTAAAATGTTGCTTCAATGACATGAAAGGAAGTCTTTTTTGCATTGAATTGTGATTGGTGACGAGAAGTGGATTTATTTTGGGAATCCCAAATGCACAAAATCATGATTGATCCAAGTCAACCATCAATATCAACTGCAACACCAAATCACTTCAGAAAGAAGACAATGTTTTGTATTTGGTGGGTGTGGTGTATTATGAACTTCTAAAACCAGGTGAAATCGTTAATACTGATCAATTACCGACAACAAATAATCAACTTGAACCATACTTTATTCGTAAAACGACCAGAGTGGGCCCAAAAACATGGAAAAGTAATTTTGCTTCATGATAATGCACCATCACACACTTCAAAACCAGTTAAAGATACATGAAAAGACCTTGCTTCTTCTGATTTCCACTTGTTCTGATCAATAGCACACGCACTTTCTGAGCAGCACTTCAAAACATATGAAAAAGTGTAAAAATGGGTCTCTGAATAGTTTGCCTCAAAACAAAAAGAGTTCTATTGCAACAGTATCCACAAATTATCTGAAAGATAGAGAAAATGTGTAGCTAGTGATGGCCATTACTTTGAATAAAGCACTTTTGATGTTTCTTTTAAAATTATTGTGCTTTCTTTGATTAAAAATTCTGCATTATTAACTGGTACACTTGGTAACTCTAGCACTTGTATAGGACATCATAAGAGGGCTTGATCCGAGACTAGAACAATTATGCCTCATACCCCAAACCTGAATTTGCACATTCATACATCACTAAACTTGACAAATTTTATTGTGAAACCCTTAATTTTACTGGGAGATCCCAAAAATCTTGTAGAGTACAAGTTGGTAACCTCTGTTGTAGATATTATAGACAATTTTGTAAGCTGTATTCATACACTGGAAATAAAATCATGCCTTCTAACATAATATATATTACAGTCGACCCCCCTATAATTACGATTCCTATAAAACTACGAAAAAATATACGTATTTTGGAAATGTTGAGTCGGATTAGTGTAGAATCGATTAATTTTATGGAAGAAAACCTTTCAATCAGCCGTAGTCCATAAACTTGACACGTGTCGGGCTGTGATTGGAACGACTTGTAAGAAATCGGATTCCTAATAAATTGGAACATATCTATATCTTATAGGGGGGGTCGACTGTATTTATACAGTCATATCTCTAAGAACTTATAGTAATTTTATTTTAATTTTATCCACGTAGTCTGTATATATTATTTTACTGAAAAATAAAATTTTCTAATGAGGTTTTCCACAAATGTTTACCATAGTTTACTGTAATTTGCTGCAAGTTAAAACAGTAAATATCAGAATGAAAAAAAAATTAGAGATATATTAATAATTAGTTATAAAATTTTTAAAAATGAATTTTGAGACGCTACAATTATGTTCAATAAACTATTACAAATGATCAGAATATTTATATATATATATGGTTGGTATTTACCATCAATTTAGTCAAATGGTTCTCTCAGTATTTATATATTTTAACCTTCTATGCATAAAATACACTTACAAATAGCTTTCAAATACACTAAAATGTCTTAAACACAATAATACAGTTATAATAAAAATTGGCTTTATAGCAATTCATCCTATGTACAAGTTGTTTGTATGTTAGGGAGACCCGCATAACAAATTACTCTGTCATATCGGCAGGTAAAACATTGGATTTGTAATACTCAGCAAAATATATTGACAATAAACAAAAATCATCTGTTTAAAAATTTTGCAAAATAAACATTTTATAGTTAGAAATAAATGACAAAAACATTTTTTCTTTATTACTGACAATGTTATGCAGCTGCAGGGAATTCACTCATGCAGTGAAAATGCTATAATAATTATGGGAAAAAAACTCTCACATATAAAATTAATTAAAAATTGGAAAACTAAAATAAAGTTAATAAAATAGTATCAAACTTCTTACTCAATAATCTACAAGACAGCCAACTTTTTTTACGATAAAAATTATAAGTGAAAATGAAATAGCTGTCATCAAAATAGTTTATAATGGATAAATTTTAAACATTAAAAAGAGAAAGAAGAAATTTTTTACAAGTTAATTACAAAACATGCATTACATTAATTAATATAATAAAGGAAAATTATATAAATTTTTCCTCAATTATATTCACAACCATTAACATTATTTAGCAGTTAATTATATCAAATTAGTGTTTCTAATGATCGTCATTCATCTGATACTTCAGAGAATTTTCTTACAATAAATCTCAAAAAAGAATCAAGATTGTTTTTTAATACCAATTTTCTTTTAAATAGTCATATTATTGATAAGATATCAGCAACAATTCCAATTTTTAAGATAAATTAAGAGATAGTTCTATTAACAATGCAATTCTTGGTCAATAAAATCGCATCTCTCTCTCTCTCAAAGATTTTCAGCAAGAAAAAAAGCCCTTAAATTTCTATTTGAATTGGATAAACACTAAGCACTTCTAATTTCTAAACTCTTGCAATAATAATTTACCTTCTGTACTTGTGTGGCTAATTCTCTGGTCGGAGACAAAATTAAAGCCTGCGTTTCTCTGACTTGGGTGTCAATAGTTTGCAAAACACCAATTGAAAAAGTAGCAGTTTTACCGGTTCCAGACTGTGCCCTAAAATATCAAAACATATTAATTAAATTTTGTCAAATGGTTAAGTGAAGCATCTGGAAAAATTCACAATAAGAATTTTAACTTACTGTGCAATTACGTCTCTTCCTTTAATTATTGGTTTAATAGATCTCTGTTGAATGGCCGAGGGTTTTTCAAAACCTGTAATACATATAGTCAAACTATAAGTTTAAAAAATACTAATGTAACAGTCATGCTAACAAAGAAATAATTTAAATTTAGAAAAATTAACAATTTCTTGAAATCAATGTAATAATCATAAAAAAATAAGGTTTTGGAAAAAATGAGAATTTCATAATTGTCCAATGTTACATATGCAAATAGCAGCAGAAAGCAATACTGTAATTACCTTTTGTTAAAGTACTTGCTAAAGTGTTTGTCATGTGGCAAGCACATACACACACAATTATTTGCCAAGCATTGGTTCAACATGGAAATTATGAATGTTTGTCCAACAGCCATTTCCTTTGATTCCATACAATATACCAACAAGGAATGGAAAATACTGAATACTGAATATTTGTCAAGTGAAGTTGCAAGTAAATCATTCACATTACTATCACATCACATTACATTACAAGTAAATCATTCACACCTATACAGGACGTTACGGATATTGGCCAAATGTCTGCTCATTATTCATTAAATACCAATGTGTGGCACTGTCTCAATCTGTATTCACTGCACCCAAATTTTTTTAGAAAATACAAGTATTCATAGAGCTATTATGAAAATTAGCAAACAAACTTGATTTATCTGAATAGACTGAATAAATTGCCCAGCAGTGGCAAGTAGACAAAACCACCAAACACTGGTAGTCAGAGTTTGAACCTCACCAACAAACTGCACAGAGTTTTCCTAGTTTTATTCACACACCTAAAGCCGTGGTCACACCATATGATTTCCAGCTGCACAGGCAAATGCAACAATGATGGCTGTTCTCATTAACTAGCAAACTCTTTGAAAACCGGTGTGACTGCAACCATGACTAGAAACAAAGTTTTTTCTACTTATGCCAATTGCAAACCCGCATCCAATTAGCAAACGCCTTTGTGCCACATCATACGATGAAAACATTGAAAATAGTTCATCATCATGGCGGAAAGTTAGAGGACTGATACTTTTACAGAATCAAGATTGATTGAGATTATTTGAGTTCACAAAGGTCTGTGGGATTTTAATTCTTCGTTTTATCGAAGATTTTATCTCTGTGTATTCTTGCCAACTCTATCAAAATGTTCACCTTTTTTTCTTTAATTCATTGCAGAAAAAGAACTGCTTGCCATGTTAATAAGAAAAATGGCTATAATTCTGTAAATACCCTGAAGTAGAACGTAAACCATCAGTAAAATCACGATAGTAGTCAAAAACAAGCTACTGTAATTTTATTAGTTTATTATAGGGTCACGTGTTTCTGAGTTGCAACACCAGAGAACAATGCAACATGAGAAGCCATGCGCAACTTGCACTTATTGCAGTTATGGTCGCCTGCGCAGCTGGAGATCGCATAGTGTGACCAGGGCTTAACACCTATACAGGAGCCAGTTTTCCATAGATAGATGGTAAAAATGCAGCTCAAAATGAGGTGGTTGGGATCTTATCAAAGCTGTACACCATGCTCATAGGTCTACACACAACCCTTTGTAAGATATAGCATCCCAAAATCAGCCTATCTGGATTTTTGAAACTCAAAAACAGAAAAATTTAAAACTAAAAAAATCCAGAGCAATTTCTTAAAACAATGCTTTAAAAAAAATCAACCATTTTCACACTTCACTAAAAATGGCTAAAAGCTCATAAAAGACAAGAAACACTATTGCATGGACTACTTCCAAGATATACCTACATAACATACACATCTCACAAAGGATCACACGTAGACCTTAACTTTTTTACTCTTACGGACACAGTCTAAAAAAACAGTTCCGATACAGTTCCAATAGATCCAACTGCCTCATAGTGCAAAGGACATCACAGCACATATATTTTTGGACAGAGACGAGGGGAGAGACTTTTTGCAAGTCGAATGCCTATACTGATATTGTTCTTTGTCCAGCAACTCGCCAGTTCATCTGTAGACATCGCATGGACAGTTAAAGTAAAGCCACGTGGACATGCAGCCGAAGTCGGCATCGAAAGCTCCACAAGGTAAGCAAATTTCCGTTACTTCATTTCACGCGACGCACACGACATTACAGACATCTCGATGCCACGGCCTCATTCGGAGTTGCATTTGTATCCAGGTCCTCTCGGCCACTTGGCAGATTGCATTAACTCGTGCCACCAAACCTTTGCAAAACTTTACAACAGATATTTTCACTTTGTTATAACTTCACTCAAGCAACTGCAATCGGCAATATTCAAATACATTAAAGCTGTCAATTAAAGATTTCCAATGACAAGAAATAAATACGAACCAATAAGCTTCCATTTCTTAAATAAATATAAATTTAAACTTCAACCTTCAAGATACAATTTAATTACTGTCTTTAAGTAACGAAGTTTTCCGCATCGTTCTCTTCGTTTGTTTGTTATACGACAGACTTTTACGTCAATTTTTACACTTTAATCGTTATAAAATAGAAGATATGACGTCATACTGACGTATAAGTACATACAATAGTAATTAAATCGACAGATTATCTCGCACTATTAGGCCTAATTTAACGTAAAGTTTACGTTCGTATTTTTCGTTATATTTCTTACCGTAAGCGTAGATTCCTCTTAAAAGATCTTCCCTCAAACCCATAGCGTCGAATGTCGGAATAACTTCAACATCTTCGCTTGTCTCAAATTCGACGTTTGATAAATCTTCCGTTTGAACAACGCGTCTGCTTAGACGAGCGGCCATCTTTGTTCCCTTATGCACCGCCACCTACGAAAACGCGAAGATTTCTTTTACCGAAGTTATAAATTTATAGCCAAAAGGTCTCATTTTATTTATTTAAAAAAGTTAAACTTATTACAAGTTATATTATTTCATTAATTTGTATTTTGAAAATTTATAATAATTGATACTAAACTATGTACTAACTTTCCGTTTTATATTTTAAAAAAAATTTTTAAAAATCTTTTTTTAAATTACTTCCTGTACTTATTTAAGCAATTATGGAATTTTTTCACATAAAAAGTGTTTCGTAATTAAAATTAATTAATATGTTTAGTAAATAAAATTATTTCCAAATCGATAGCGATGGGTTTAGTAACGCCAGAGTCGGACTAACACGTTTCTATATAATTGTTGATTTCAAACAATTGCAATAATTTTAATTCAGTCAGCCTACTTCTTCTATGCTAAATTTTACTTGCGATATCATTTTTTGTGTCGAATCGTTACTGTAAGCTCTACTTATTTATGCCAACCAGATGGCCGAGGCGATAAGGCGTTAACCTACCGCTCTGGGGACCCGGAATCGAATCAGAATGAGTCTAGAAACCCCAAGAGTCTTTCGGAGGAACATCTAATATGTCGGGTCCCGTTTTTCACCAACCGACCATCCAATTGTGGGCCTAAAGAAAGCTCTTAGTGCCTATAGGGCGGAAAGAGAAAACGGGATTGAAGTTTGGTAAACATTTTCAAAACTATATTGTTTGAATTGTCTTTGAAGAAATATAAAGCAAGGGTGAGCAAGCCTTATCAAACGTGCCAAACACGCAAATGGACGAATTTTTTCGGTAGGCCCAGAGCAGCTAGTAAAAAATTAATATCCAACATCTTCGTAGAGTTGTATATTTTAATATACTGTAATATGATTTTATCAAATAGAGAGATAATAAATAAAAATGCAATAAAGATACAAACATTATTGACTGTTATAGTAATAATATGTAATAAGGAAATGAAACAAACATTTTGTGATATACTCACATACAGCAAAGTGGCAAAGTCTGCTAAATCTAGCTTTCTCGAGCCTCCTCTAACTTCTAGACCATACAATATGCTTCCATAACTCCTGGTTGGCACATAAGAATATTTGCACACTTAAAAGGTTGCCTATAAGAAAATAATTTTAAAATGTTTCTTGTTAATTAATCGTACGACTTACGTAAACGCGTATTTTAAATTTAAAAAAAAGTATTATAATTATGATTTAGAAATTGGATTAAACTGTTATACAATCGAATTCGAACTTAATTAACCGTATACAATTTTTAATAATTGAGATTTTTATTTAATGCACTTATATAATTAAATAATTATTATAGTTAAAATAGGCATTCACCCAAATTAATTAAAAATTAACGTGTTTTGTATTCTACGTTTTTAATAAATAACGAACAGTGTTGTTTTTCTGTTAACAAAATAGGTTATTAATTAAGAAATTTCTCAACTTATAGTTCGCGAGCCCTAAAATTAATTCCTGTACGTTATAACATATCGCCAAATAAATAAAGTTGAAAGACACTGAATTAACGTTATATTTTTAAATTATTTTTATAAAACACATTTCCAAAATGATTTGTATTTTGTATATTTAAATTTAACTGTATTTTTTATTACTTCTATTTTTTGGGTACTAAGAGAATCTTTTTTACAATAACCATCGTGTGATCGTTCATGCTCACACGGGGCTACCGGATGGTGAAGAACGAAACCCAATATATCCGGGAGGAACCATCCACAAAAAATTTCTGGGAATTTTTGGATGAGTGAGATTCAATCCCAAGGCCCCAGAGCGGTAGACTGATTCTTTAACCGTTTCGGGAGACGTAAAACGTTTATTAAATAAAAGTAAATATGTATTTATCATATGACTACATAATAAAATGGGTAAATCAATATAAGTACTAGATAGAGAATATAATTCTCTCGAGTAATATCTCTAACTGACGATGTCTGACCCCAACAAGGATCAGTCCGCCTGTAATGGCCAAATTTGAAGGCATCTTTTATCGACATACAAGATACTTTCAATTACTAGTTATAAATGACCATTCTTATAGTAAATACGGTAGTATCTTTGCTATATTTATTAGCAAACGACTTTTTTAAAAACTTTTTCCGCCCTGTGAGCATTAAAACGACTTCTTTTAGCAAGCCCATTGTAGGTCGGCCAGGCTTACAATAATTGCTAAATAACGCACAACTTATAACCAATAATAGACTAATAGCATCCATTCTCCCAGTATAAAATAAAGTCATCACAACACTTTCCGGTTGCAAAGAAAGAAAGAAAAAAAAACAAAAACAAAAACAAGAATGAAAGGAAAAAGGGCACTGGAAATCGACGGATTGGCATGAAATTTTTGAACAAGTGAGGGATCGAGCGGGGGTACGAATACATCTGATGGATCTATAATTTTACATGCCATATGATTATTTTATTAATTATATATTTATTTATATTTAAAAAAATTTTAAAAATATAAAAATTAAAATTCTGCAGGCTATGTCAACTTACTTTTCTGGCGGATGCGTGAACACATCCGGACGGTTGGAAAATCCTAGACATTTTTTGGGGATGATCCGTCTCGGATATGTCAAGCCTCGTTCCTCTCCACATGGCTTTCCTATCCAGGGCCTGGACATACGTATACAATTTCCAAAATTGATTGAGTCGGAACGCTATCGCCGTTCTTAATACATCAATTGAAAAGGATTGAAATTCAAAATTGACTGAAATTTTTTTTGATGATAAATCAATTTATGGTATACACATTTTACAAAGTAATCAGATAAATTAGCAGTAAATTAATGAGTACGTTTTTGCAATGTAATATCTGTTTATTATTAAAACGAAACGCGTTCGTGTTCAATTAACAAGTATCGTATATAGGACAGCCGGACGGCTAAGCGGTTATAATGTTAGCTTACCGCTCTGAGGACCTGGAATAGAGTCCGAATGGGTTGAAAAACATCAAAAAAATTTGGGGTTGTCCCGGCTGCCCCCATTTTGGATCTGGCCGAATCCATGACGAACTTGCTAGAAAGGTTCTCTTAATTCCCACAGGGCAGAAAGTTCTAAAAAATTTTCCGGTAGGCTTCTTGGATATCCCATTGTGATAGGCCTGCAATATATCTAAAATTTACAATATTGACGAAAAAATTATAGTTTTTAAAAAATATATTTTTCAATAAAATATTTATTGTATGTACTGTACAAGATGAAGCTGACTATCGGGTGATATTATACGCTAAAGTTTGGTTGATGGGAAAAACAAAAAAATGACATTGCTAATATCGAAATATCATCGTCATCACGTATAATATTGATAAATACGCGATGACGACGAAATTTCGATATTAGCAATTAACTATTATTCACATTAACAAATGTCCTGTAATTTCCTTACCTTGACAAACGAAAACTTTTTTCATTTTTCTTATTGCATTACGTTTGTAAATATAACTTTTAATACGCTACATTCTTATGGAAATTTTGCTCAAATATAAGATCTTGCAATTAATAACGGATTGAAATGTTTTGTAATTTTCAAAGAATGAAAGCATCCGAGAAAAATTTTTATGGAAGATTCCTGAATTAAATTTTCTTTCATTTTAACATCTTTAGGATAGTCCAAGACTCCAAATATTCATAAAAACTTTATGATGATATGCGATATTTTTGGGATATAGCCATCTAAGTAAGATGTCAATCCGTATTGTGTGATACCCGGCTCCAAGTCCACGGTCGAATCCTTAAAAATTATCTAGTTCGAATATGTTGTATCTTCTTCCTTTTCTCCGGTCCTATTGTGAACCTGGTGAAACCAACGATGAACCTACTATAAGGGGTCTTTTAGAGGTCCATACAGTGAGAATGGTTTACGAAACTATCATAAAAAAAATATACCAAAAATGTTGTAATTACACGAGTAATTCGAGTAAACGGAAAATTCGGTTGACACCTTCAGCTTTCACTATCTACAATTGAAAGTATCCTTATGTTCTATCATACAATTCTATATTAGCGTTAATGACACTTGTACTGTACAAGTCACAATTTTCGTTTATAGTAAATATATTTATAAACTATTGATTATTCTCTGTGTAAAACAAATATTTTAAAATATTGGCCTAAAATGCTGTTAACAGGAAGATACGGGTTCGATTTCAGTCTAGAGTTGGATCGAATCAAGATGAGAAATATTAATGAGAAAATCATTTTCTTTGTAATTCGGTTATCTTAGATATTTACATCGTTGTTATAAGCAATAACATTGTCAAGAAAGTTCTAAAAATAGTTTATAATCTTGTTTTGAATCTCGAAATTCCAAGAATTAAAGATTGAAAGTTTTTGGCATTTGACATAAAATTTATTTCATTTCAGATGTGCCAAGTTTTAATTACTAATCTATCAAAATTTATGATTCTGTTTGTCAGATTTTTATCGACTGATTTTATGAATGAGAGGGAAGATTGCCAGAATTCTCTAAAAGGAAGTAAAAATTTTAAATCACGTAGTAGTACTTCTATTGATATAACCTGTATGTCGGAATTATTTGATAAATTGAACCTTCGATTGATTCAATTTTTTGAAAACAGAATAGACAATTATGTGGTAAATTAATTATTAGAAACGGAAAAATTATAATAAAATATCTGAAAATTAAGAATTAAAGCTAATTATTTATACTCTAAAACAGTGTTTTTCAACCTTCTTGAATACGAGACCCCTTTACAAGTTAAAAAATTCTGGCGACCCCCCAGGGCCATATTTAAACTATATCAGTGATTTTAAAAACTACGTATTTAATTTTCTTTCTTTAATTAAATATCGATCGAAAAACCAATTGTCCTGTAAAATAAACAGGCACAGCCTTCTCACTGAAATTCTAGTTTTTTTTTATTGTAGTGTAGGACCTACAAACACTTGTCTTTTTTTTCACCCGTGACCCCCCCGTGTAAGGCTTTGCGACTCCCTGGGGGTCGCGACCCACAGGTTGAAAAACACTGCTCTAAAATAACCACAACTTAAATTATTTAAGATGTGATAAATGTGCATTCAACAGGTTTGTTGGACTAGAGTCTACAATAAACTTAATTCTTTTAAAACTTTTCAGTGGTACAGTACATGCAGTGTACTGTACTTCATTAAAATAAATCAATTTTTTTATATTCGTGAGCGATAGTGTAGCTAGAACTGATATTATTACCAACGCTATGATTAAGATATATTACAGAATATACTCTTAGATATTATATATATATATATACGCAAATCTTTTTTGTGCTTATTTCATTTTTCTCTTAATTTATTTAGAAACATAAGGAAATCCGGGCCCACTACGTCCCTCCCTGATTAAGTTACTGTTCACGAGCACTTATTCTTCGTTAAATAAAATCTGTAAATTATTTACTTCACAAATTATATTTATATATTTGCTATCCATGATTATAAGAATAGCAGATTCTTTATAGATGCGTTGTTCTTATGGGTTTTCATGGAAATGCTATTCTATGCTACTGAAAATATTTGTTCATACAAATATTAAGTAGCATTTATACTTACGACGCCATCTTTCAATCTGGGTATCCATGGCTTGCAGTGCTCGAGTGAATAACATTACTGAATATTGGTAGTCAGTCTTGGGTTCGCATTTCACCAACGAGCTGGCTGTGTAAGGTTTGCCGGGTTTTCTTCACCTGTTTAACACTTAAATAAAGAATAGTTTCTTATGGAGCATCTTTTTGGCAGATTGACCTTGTGTTGCGTCGCCTTATTCTAGCAATTGAATTCACTCAACTCTGAGGAATCCGGGTTCGATTTCAGGACGGATCTTCGTCAATTTTTATGGATATTTTGATCCGGATTCTCACTATTCGATTTTCCCATTGTAGGATGGAGGACCCATGGTAAACATAAATAAATAACATCCAAATGCCCATAGAGTGAAAGAAATTTAATAAAGTATCGCAAGTACTAATTATATTCATGTTGATGCAACGATTATGCTAACAGATTGCGTACATGCTCAAGCGATAAGTTAATTTTAATTACCCTAACTAACCAACCGAGGCAATTAATTAGTTATAACTTATACCACGTAATTTATTAATATTTTGAAGCGAAAGTAATGATTAAAATAGATAATTATTTTTAAAAATGCGCGTAAATCCATTGAATATAACCACCCCTTTGCTACCGAAGCTAACAAGGACATTAATTTCTAAGATAATTAACAATTTAATTTAATTTCCTGTAACGTTTATTTGCGGTTGAGCTTACATCGATTTATATACTCATTATATAAACGTAAAAATTATAAATATACTTTTTAATATAAACACACGCTCATGTTTACGCTTAATTTTATGATTTTTAAATTAAAATAACAATTTAAATATATAATTTTTGTGTTAATATTTAATATATACATTAATTATAAAATAATAAAAAAGATAAATGAAATTACTTATCATAAATTTAGTATTCGTCAACCTTTTTATGTTTTAATATGCAGGAATAGAGTTTAGTAGATCGCGAACCACAAGTTGAGAAATAAAAATGATCTCTCGAATTTAATTAAACGAAAAATAGAGATTAATTATTTATTTAAAATATAAAGTAAAAAAAAATTAAATTATATTCTAATTAATTCAGACGACCACCTAATTTAAATTATAATAATTATTTAATTAAAATAAGAATATTCTATTAAAAAGTGCACTTAATTCATCAAGTGTATATTCGGTTACGTAACAAATTAATCCAAAAGTATAAACAATAATGTATATATTTTATGATTATTATATTTATTTTTTTAAATTGGAGTCACGCAATTAGTAAGAAACACGTTTAAAGGAATTTCTTTTATATAAATCTGATGGTAATTGTTGTAGAAGACAATTACTCAGACAATATTGGCTTTTGAATATGGCCACGTGCCAAATTTCACTCCCTATTATTCTGCTTATTGTAAAATTTTCCATTTAGTCCTTCAGATAAGGAAGTTAAACTTTATTTATATAATAAGAAAATATGCTTACTCCAACGGGGTATTTATACAAGAAATATAGTTTTCTCGGTAAAAATATAATAAGAACAGTTTTTCCTGTAAATTCTTTATTTATTTTTAATAATTTGATTCGATTTTCATTCGAGGAAAAAATGCGGAAAAATAATCTTCTTATAATCTGTTTCCTTTCGTTGTTACAATTATTTGATTAAAAACTTTAAAATAATTAATGCAATTTTATCCTCTTATTCTTCTCATTATTCGCCTATTTATTTTCTTTTTAAATGTTAAAATAATTAGGTTAAAATAACAAATGAATCTCCTTTTATAGTAATAAAATGCATGAAATCCTTATGTTCTATCATACAATTCTATATTAGCGTTAATGACACTTGTACTGTACAAGTCACAATTTTCGTTTATAGTAAATATATTTATAAACTATTGATTATTCTCTGTGTAAAACAAATATTTTAAAATATTGGCCTAAAATGCTGTTAACAGGAAGATACGGGTTCGATTTCAGTCTAGAGTTGGATCGAATCAAGATGAGAAATATTAATGAGAAAATCATTTTCTTTGTAATTCGGTTATCTTAGATATTTACATCGTTGTTATAAGCAATAACATTGTCAAGAAAGTTCTAAAAATAGTTTAAAGTTCAAAAATATTTGATTTTTATGTATTGGTAATTGTTTATCAACCTTTGCTTGTTTATATTTAAGCAGTGTCAATAACATTGGTGAAAAGCGCGGGATAAATTGACTTAACTCCTACTTTTCTGGTCGTTGATACGGGATAACGGTGACTTTCCCGGTCGCCGGTACGGAAAGATCTAATAATATAAGAACAGAATGAATTCAGAGTTTAATTTATTTTATTATAAAATGGCGGTTTATCTATGCTGAAAAACGTGTTCAAATTACAAAATTTTTTAAAATATTAAATGTATCGAATCAGGAATTATTAAAATTATATAATAAATGTTTATTTTATAAATGCTCTAATATTTAATTTTTTATTTCAGTATTTTTATTTTCTGGGTGGCCTGACGAAAGCCTAACTTCCTTCCACTTGTTGGGTCCGGGTTCGATACTTTCGGCCAGTTTTATTTTGAATAAATGTAAAGAAAAAAGCATTTTAAGGCAATTTAATACAAAAGACTACTTAATCGAAATAAATACGCATTAGTTAAAATTTTGAAAAAATCAAAAATTAAAAATTACGTTTAGAAAATCTAAACAAATGTGCCGAAACCGAAACGAGCGACGCCATTTGCCTGTGTATTTAAAACGATTAAAAACAGACGATAAAAGTAATTATTATCGATTAAACAAACAAATCGATAAACTGTACAAAATTAATTAACGAGACATTATAAAATAAATAAACGCGGTATTAAAATTAATTTAAGAATTAGATAAAGTTTAGAAAAGTAAAAAAAAAAAAAAAAAAATCTCCATTAGAAGGTCGAGTTCGGGAAAATTCCGGTAGGGCGAGTTTGGTAGATGTTTCGCACAAGGAGAAAGATCGTCTGGGAGACGTGGAGGGAGGAAGTTAGATCCGTACGCGGTCGGTGTAGAAGGTTGTTTTATACTCTGTCATCGTCGGAGCGACAGCGTTAAGGTGTGGGAATACGTCGACATTGTTATGTAAAGAAATGGCAGGAGGTAAATCGACCGTTCACGTCGTGCAACTCAAACCCATCGTCGTACCAAAATCTCTACAAGAAGGCAACAAATTCGTAAAATGGGACGACGTGAGTCTCTTTTTCTTATTTAAATTCAATAATTTCGTTAAATTCCAACGTAATTCTTAACTAAAAATCGCTTCCTACGTTCCACGTCCATCCTATTGTGTTGTTATACCTACAATTTCCTGTTATAAACTTCAAATATGTTTAAATAATACGGACAAAAGTAATTTAAACACGTAAAAAACTTTAAATATTCTTTTTTATGTATTTAATCGCGTGCAATTTGAAGATTTAGTGGGCAAAATCCAGTATTGTGGGTGCTTAAGATGTAAAAATACTGTAAAAAATGTGCTCTAATCTACATATTTATATATAAATTGTGGCAAGAAAATCATGCTTAAATTTCTTGTAGTTTTACATATTTTTCTTCTCTTAATTTATATATAAATGCATAAATTAAGGTAGAAATTATATAGAAATACCTTGAATCTGTGTATAAATTTTCTGTATTTTGCACTCCTTTTCTAAGTATATTTGTTATTAAATCAAGAAAAATGTAGAAAATTTATATATTTTTTTGGTTTAATAACAGGAACACAATGAGAGATATGCAAAGTAATTTGTATGCATTCGTTTGCATTTATGTCATTTTTAATGTTAAATTTCTAAGGTTTAACGCAAATCTAATTTGTTAAGTGATGTGCGTAAACAATTTAAATTTATTACGTTTGCAAATCTGTTGTATAAGATAATCTTTTATTGTCTTGTTCGTTCTCGTGTTTCTTTACTTTCCTTTCTTGTTTTTGTCTTATTATCGTCTTTGTTATTTTCGTTATTGTCTCGGAGAAACGAGAAAGAGCCTCTCGTGCAAATAGCCATTATTTTCCGTAACTATACGGAATGCGGTAATTACGCGACGTGTAAAAAGATAAATTTTTCGGTTGTCTATTCTCGTAATTTCTCCAGATTTGTGTAGAAAATTCGACACCGATCGAATCGAATTTGCATTTAATTTATTACCTATCACGGCTTTTTCGTTAATCATTCTTACTTAGTATACGGTGCGAGTTTTTGTACACGTATATATATCTAAAAATAGTTTAAAGTTCAAAAATATTTGATTTTTATGTATTGGTAATTGTTTATCAACCTTTGCTTGTTTATATTTAAGCAGTGTCAATAACATTGGTGAAAAGCGCGGGATAAATTGACTTAACTCCTACTTTTCTGGTCGTTGATACGGGATAACGGTGACTTTCCCGGTCGCCGGTACGGAAAGATCTACTTAACGCCCACTTCCGATAATATGGGGAGTGACGCCGCATAAATATTGATTTGTATTACATTTAAAATTTGATGTACGGCGGATATTGTATTTGTAATATCCACACTTACTTTGCATAAAGTCCGTTGTCGAAACCGGCAGTTACTTTAGCAAATTTCCCTTTTCCCCATATTCAAATTTATACTTAAGAGAGTGGTTTACATGTATTCATCTACGGATATTACCATTTATTTTATTAATAAAATACTAGGCACAAACTTAATTTTACCACATCATACACATCAATGACATTTAACTAAATGTACAGCATATATTTTCATATTTTTAACCAAATTGATATTTTGATTTATTTTATTTGATGTAATTTAAAACTATAAAGAGGAAAATTGTGTTGTAAATAGACTAACAGAATATATCCATTTTATTGCAAGAAAACAAGTATGAATGTATTATTTTCATTTTAATAAAATGCAAATTTAAGTAAATGCTATATGATACGACCAATATTTAGTTAAATAATAATTTGTATTATCTTTAACTCTCGAGTAGTAATGTATTTACACTTTTATCGATTATTGAATTTATCGAAGCCGAATTTACCGGGAATCCATCGATATCATCTCTCGAAATCTCATTCTACGCAACTGTTTCTATGAAATATTACACGTAGATTAGCTTTAAAACATTTAGGAATATTTTAAAGAACTTTATGGGTATTTATCGATCAACGTATCGTTATAAAATTGCATTTTTATATTGATACCTGCGATATAGATTTAAAGATTATGTATTTTTAGAGCATGTATGTAACTTATTTATTTTCATGCAATTATAACTTTTTCTTAACACAATATGGTTCAGTTTTACTAAGAAAAGATATAATTGATAAGGCTGAACCTTGCTCTAAAGTAAAATGAGTAATCAAACAAATTGATATTTTAGTAGGTGAGAATTTAATATCTTGTAAATCTATATTACTTAATTTTTTACAAATTAATTTTGTAGTTCTCTTTAATTTTTTAATAGTTATTTATGTAAATACAACATTTTTTATTGTATTATCATTTAATTTGTTCAACTTTTAACAAATATCAAATATACTGATAAGAGAAGCAATGTAGAAAATAGATATTTTTGTATGTTTTCTTCTATATTCTATAGCCCTGCTTGATATTTAATAGTTAATTATATAACTATACCATTTTTTTGCTTCAGTATGCCTTAATTTAAATGTATATTAAGTTTAATGATAAGGAGAGGGGTGCAGAAACATGTGTTTCTGTATATTTATCTAGGCTCTGTTTAGTAATTTAATAACTAGAAAAGTTTTCTCAAATTTAAAATTTATAAAGTAATTTTTGCTGTTTTTGAGGAAATTGTCTTTGAATTTATGTGAACTCTGCCACAATCTACAGTCTTTGAAATTCAATTTATTTGAAAATATTGCAGTTTGTCTTTTTCATTTAGCAAGAATCAAACTTCCACTTCTCCACATGGAAATTTACATGTGGAGAAATTTGGTCACTCTGACAGAATTGAACTTTTGTATGATTGACGTATCGAGGAGAACCTGTTTATTTTGAAATCCATTTTCCATTATTACCGAGAGATTTCTTTTCTACCATTCGATTAAAAGTCATTTTTCAAGAGAGCTTTCCATCGGGGAAACATTTCTTTCTCGCGCCTCCTAGCCGGCAGTCTCCGTTCGGATTCTATAAAAAGTTATTTACTTAAATAAATTAGCAAGATGTATATCAATTTGCATATAAAAAAGGAAATCTCTTGGATTTTCTGTACAAATTCCTGTGCTAATTTTTTTTCTAACCACAAGACCTTGATCTCAACTGCCATCTTTAAAGGTCAGTGACATATCTTTCAACTAGTTTTATTTTGTGGGTCTGTTAAAGTTGTACTGCAAGATGTCATTTATTTAACTCATTCTTTATAATTCTATCCTTTAATAATGCTGTTTCAAGGATGGAAATTTGAATAGCTTCCAAATTTTTATGATATAATTACAGCGCATTTCCAGTATTATTGTTTAAGGACATAAGATTAACACGTTCTTCCTTTCCTGTTTGAATTCCTCTAGCAAGACATTTAATGAAATATTTTTACTATATTATACTCTATAAATTTGTCTTATACCCGCAATATCTAGCAAAGATTCTGGAATTGCTAGAATAAATTAAACCGTAACGGGTGTAGATCTTCTAATTGATTCGAAAATAGTAGTTTCCCTCCCGATTTCTATTAAGTAGTGGTGATTAATACCGTACTAACACCAACAGCAGGGATTCTTCGGTAGGGAGGCTCGACTTTGTACATTGAGAAACACTGAATTATCATAGCAACTAAAGGAAATGGAGAGGCATGACCTTCAACAACGTAGCTTCTGTAATCTGGGGAAGTAGTATCAATTAAAACAGTAAAAATATATTTAATAATTTAAAAAATAAATTAATTTCAAGTGAACGGTTAACAGGTGTTTAGCACCTGTTCGCATTAAAATCGGTTTTATAAATATCAAGATAACGATTAAGTGTTTAAAACTGTATAACGCGTGTTTAAATCGATGGCATCCGTCACTTTAAAAGCAATAATTTTTCGAGTAAACGAGTAAAAAAGTACGTAACTTTGCACGTAATTTAGCCATAAAGGAGTATGTCTCAACCGGTAGATCGCGACTTCCCGGGGTGGAAAACGATATATTTAGATAACGTCGCGTCTTTTTAGTAAATTATAAGGGGACGGCAGACCTCAGACGTTTCTGTAGAGGGATATTTACGCTTCTCTTTCCCTAATTTCGGGCCCCCTCGTAACTAACGAAACGGTTTAAATGGATGGAAATGTTCTAATGGAAGGCTATTACGTAACGAGCGTTACGCACGCGAATAAGAACAATCTACGTCTCTACCTACGTCGTGTATATATATATAAACGATTCCTCTATTGACAGGAGAAATATTGATTTTGCACTCTACCCGAAAGTGTTAACGGTCGTGTTTTCACCACGCCCTGGACTATGTAATGCTTTTCACACATCTCCTAGTCATTATCTAAAAGTACACCCTTTGAAAAACATGCAAGATATATGTATATAAGCTCCCGACTTGCTAAATGTCACATACACAATTTACACGCTCCTACCACGCAATAAAACTTGCTGATTAAACTAAGTAACATTATCTTTACGGACTCTTCCCCAAAAACCCCTCCCTCCCGAGTGTTTTTAAGCTCTTAAACTAGACTAATGGAAGGTTAAATCGATTCTGCACCCCCTTTTTAAATCTATCATTAAGAATTGTATTCGTAAATACCCTTACTAACAGGAGATTCTAGTCACGTAGCCTAATAAGTAAACTATTAACGACTCCACCCTGTTTTGGATAGCAAGCTTTAATTATGTTTACATACGGCCAGTGTTATTTTAGCAATAATCGTTAGAAATTTATGGAAATCTTTCTAAATATTTGTTTACTATATTGTAGGAGTCAACCGTTGGTATACCGGTAACGTTAAAAGTGGATAAGAAAGGGTTTTTTCTCTACTGGACGGACCAAAATAAGGTAAGGTTTTTATTGTTATCCTATACTAAAGAATAATATAAATAAACGAGAACAACAAGGGATTTAGGTAGGAAGAAAAAAAGGAATTCCATTTTCACTTCTCATCCTTCGGGCAACAATTTAATTTCATTTGATACATGAGGTGTCGGTTTGAAAGGTCGGAAATTCGATTTTGTCTTCAACAAAACCGAAATGAGATGTAAATCGATTAGAAAAGTTCCATCCCTTCTATTTTAAAACCCAACGTTTATATCTTTACCTTTTCAACACAGAAATCGTTCTGTTTACCTTTTATATATAGAAAATTCGCATATTCCCTTCAGGATATGATTTACTTTTTAAAATAAAATGATTTAAATATTATATGTTTAACAAAATTAAATATATAAATATGCACACGTGTTGTAAAAACATATTAAAAAATCTAAGTAAATATTCATCTCGAGATAATGATTTTTTTTTTTCTGAAATTAAATGTATTTACATAACGGCATACACGATAACGACCCAGGATATCTTCAATTAAAAATTGAATCATAAAATTTTCGAGGGTCCACCAGAGGACCCGAACCAGTTATATATTGTGCTAAAGAACACGGTAGTTACGGTCAGAAATTGTAACCATTGTTTTAAATGTTAAAGTATGCCGAATCCTCAAATAAAAAGTCGATCATTTTTAACCGTGTGTGTTCCAAGGAAGTTTATTCAAGCTTCTGTGGTGTGTTAAAAGGATGAAAGATAGACGCGAAAATTTTATAATTTTTGTAAATACAGTAATCATAATTCAGTTTTTAAATGTATTTAAACTCGGGAATAATGAGAGTTTTTTATCGCTTAAGTAGAATTTGTTGTTTTTTAGCACGAAAGTACCGATTTAATCCTCTAAAAATCGAATTTAAAACGTAATTTACTCTTTATATTCATAGAAAATGCTATTAGTATCGAGCACATCGTCTAATTTATTAAACGGTGTAGCTTTGTTTTTATTAAACTACTTTGTCTCCGGCAAAACTTTTTCCCTCTCCGTCACTCTCGATAATTAAACTTATTTTTGTTTTCTATTTTTGGAAATCATCCCTCCGGGTTCGCCATTATCTTCTCAGAGAATTCTCTTCTTCCTTTTTATTTTCTAGATATGATTTTTACAAATAAACTGGAAATATTGATATAAAATTCCCAATATTTTTACATTCGGTGTACGTGTTAGTGTGTCGATCCCTTGGGTATTTCTTACATTTCTCGTCTAAATCACGATAAGATTCATATTCATCTATCTTGGCTCTCCGTAAATTAGTTTCTGAGTGGATATTTTCTTATATAATCTTATTTATTTTCTTCTGATACGTCGTAATTTTCATCTCGCCCGGATTCTTCTACTAAATCTAGCCAATACTATGTTTTTGCGCTAGATGAGTGGTTCACTCTATAAAATTAAACAATTTTTAGAAAAACTCGAAGTCTTTTTAGAAATTAAACTACGGGAAATGTTTATATACCGTCAGTAAACAGATGTATATATAAATTTGTAGCCCCACGACTACCGAGAAGTTTATTGATACGTCAAAACTTGCTGAGATTTTTCTATTAGTTTCCATTAATCTAGCCTTTACTCCTTTGTTCTTTCGTTAGATAAATGGTTCACTCTATAGAGTCAAACGTTATTTATAAGAAAAGTATGAAGTATTTTTAGAAATTAAACTGCAGACTTTCTTTACTTATCTTTAACGAGATCGGTACATAGATTTCTATGTACATTTTTCTCCATTCGAGCGCGAACATCCGTCACTACAAAAAAAATTCGTGATTAGATTCTTCTTTTCTTTTTTAATTTCTCATTATTATATTTTTTGAGGAGGAGGAAAATATTTTATAGTTTATCTTATCAAACTTGGCAAATCACCATCTGGTTAGACATTTATGGACCATGGCATGAATAGACATGAGATTTATGATATCTGATCGATAAATCGATCTCGATCATCTTACAAGTATCCAGTTTCTTTAAGAGCGAACAATGTAAGAGGTAGAAGAAGAAATTAATTATCTTATTCTTAAGAGGCGATGTGTGAAATATGTTTTTTAATCCTAAATTTTGTCCAAATGTTGGGAATTAGAAGAGAGCAGGGTGGAAAATTCATTCGATTTATATTACACTATTTCATTTTTCATAATGCGACAAAATAAATCAAATTTAACTGCTTTGTTATCGATCTAGATAACACAGCAAGGATTTTATATCCTCTTCTGCATCTTATTTAGATAAAACTAGACTCTTATCGTCTTCACAATTTTTATGCCTTACTGGCATTCGTCTGTCATTTTTGCCTCCACTCAACGAGTATAAATAAACGATCCCGACCGTCTTCCCCCTGTTAAACCCTTTGAAATTTACCTTTCGTTTAAATTAACCAATAATATTTACTAATTCCTACGACGTCATCGCCGTTTCGCCGCTAGAATTTCTGTTAATTTCGAATAAAAATTAACGTTTTCTTCCTATTACAAATCTTCTGTGCGTTACCGGCGGGAATCTACGCATTGTGACGTTTCGATCAAGTTTAGAAAAACCAAAAACGATTGGTTAACAGTCAGAAATAACGGTCACTTCTTTAAAATTTGAATTTTTAAGCGTAAAATAATGGTAAAAAACTTTAAAAATAACTGTTAAATGTATCGGATCTCGACTCAACCAATGGATTTTCGTATTTAGATGGCCTTAGATTGGGTAGGAAAGTGGCAGAAATGCCTTATTTCCTGATATAGTATGTGAGGTATTGGGAAGAGTGACACGATTTAAATTGTGGAACGTCATCTTTGGTTGAAAATACATTATTAATGACTCGACCTGTTAGTTTTCCAAACTATTTTATTCAACGTATTAATTTTAAATCCACGATAGTATATTGTCCATTATTCAAGATGACAAATCGCTCCCTTCTTCCATACTTTCATGTATCTCTATATATAATGCAATGACTTGATATATTTTAAAACCGAGTATTATATATGGAGTTATTCCTTTAGTAAAGGTAGCCATATTATTTTTATAACGTTATATTAACGAAAATTTCTTATTTTTGCAATTTTAAGGTGTTTACGCCTGTTAGAAGTCACTCGAAATGTGGTTTTTCAGTAGTCGCGGGTGTTACTTTCGTGTAATGTGTTCGCGAACTACCGGTTGGTAATCTATATGGAAGAATGCAGCATTTGTGTAGTGGATTTTATGATTTTCAGGATAAGATTATCCAGAAATTCTACAGAATTAAATGCTATCTATAGCAAATACTTTGTAATCTCTCTTTACATCAAACTATTTATGATGCAGATTATAGCAATGGCGCGATATAGTATCGCTTATCTAATCGATGAAGTAGCGATTAAATGTGATTTATTGTTTCCTATCGTGAATAAATTTGTCTTCAATTATTAATCATTCTCATTCTTTCTTCCATTTGTCATTAAGTTTCATACAGAGCTTAATATCTCGAGAACATTCGTACCATTACCGCTCTCCTCGACTTACAAGCGTGATATATTCGATTTTACAAGGTTTAACAACATATTTTTATAGGATTTACAGCTAGGAAACCTCCTAAACAATGTATTTCTTTACTTTTCCTCGTTTCCTTCCTCGTAATCTTATAATTATACACAAATATATCTCGGTGCAGACGCACGCAACACGAGAATCGTAATCTTATCTCCGTTCCGCTATAGGAAATTAGATTGAATTGGTGTAAACTTCTGTAGGAAACAGATAAAAACAAACTGTAGATTATCCAGAATTCATAAAAACTGTAATTATCTTATCGGAAACGGGAAAAAAATCGGAATAACTCGACCCCATCCGGAAAATCAATTGGTACCTCGACATTACGATGGAGTCGTATCGTGTTTAGTCGCCGTTCATAAAGTGTAAAAATATTCGAAAGTAGTTGATTCCGATGAATATTTTTAATACATATTTTACGATGGCTTGGAAAATCCTGTCGTAAAATATATTTTCCTCCAGGAATTCTTCCGAGATTAGGTCAAGATAACGATTCAAAACGTCATAAAAATCCTCTCATTAAATATAAATTATATATAATATACATTTATATATAAATTTCTCACGATTTTCTTTGATTTATTTATCATAAAATGAGATTATCCTTTAAGTACAGTCATATATCAAGAGGCGCGCACAAATACTCCTTCCATCAGTCGCACCGTTTATTAATTTAGATGTCGAGCCGAAAACGTTAATAAATCTAAATAAACGTGATTAATTCGCAACTAATTTCAATTAAGGACCAGTTTCTTTGGATAATTTCGTGCAGAGGCGTTACAAAAAACGGCTTCCCACAAAATGGCGTGAAATTTCGCGAAATTTATTAAGACAAAGCTTACATAAATAATTCATGTTTAATAATTCGAAGTAGCGAATTGCGAAATTCTTCAGTCTGTCAGTCGAGTGGCGGTTGGTCAATCGATTTCCGTGACGTAAAATAACGAATTTTAACCACTTAATAATCAAAATAAACGTCGGACTAAGCCCGGTAATTAGTCGAATCGAAACTTTATGAATATTTATGAATTTAAATGGACGAAAATTGCTCGTGTGCCGAGAAGTGGAAATGCCAAACTGGTTTCGAGTGGAGATTGCGACACTCCAACTGCCATTTCGGCATCCAGTGCACTCGAAATGCGTACCTGGACGCTATAAAAGTACGAAGACACTCGAATCTTTCATTCTGTTAAGAAGCTTAAGATAAATCCTCTTGAGATAATCAATATTAAACGCGCGTGGCGCTCCCTTCACGCTGCTAATAAAACGTCTAATACTGTAAAAGCTTTGTTAAATAGGTTTAACGGCGATGTTTCCGAGTGAAGTAGGAAAATAAACACATTCTTTTAAAGACTGCCGCCATTTTTTCCATTCTCCGTGACGAAATTTAGTCGATTTACGCGTAATTCGCCGTAATTTTTATCGATCCGTATTGTTTTTACGTAATTTCCGTGTTGTATATTGCCGTTAAACACAATTAAATTGTGATTTGGGACGCTTTAAAGGCGACGTAATATGTTTTTAATAGTGTTTACGCCAGTTTAGGAGGTTTGTTTACGCCACGTCTGGCATAAATAGTGCCACGTGTATTTAATTTTATGGTAATGCGGGGGAGAGTTTAAAAAAATCTTCGATTTTCCGGCGGTTATACAATCGCCAACCGGTTAAACGGCGGAGCGACTCTCGTATTCTTCTAAGTAATTATAGTTCGTTCGAAGAATTAATTTACCCGAGAGCCGATGCTATTTTTATTGCTCGCACCATTTTGTTTCCTTTTTAAATCCTTGGCTTTTATTGCTCCATTGTTTGGTTTTTGTATCGTCCGAGTCGCTTTTATTGCTCCGGCTGTTGCATTTATTGCTCGTATTGTTCTTTCTCGTTGCACGTATCGCAGATTCCGTGGCTAACGTCATTGTTTTAGCATTCAAAACCTTGTTTCTTCGCTCACACCTCGTGATTTTTATCGCTCGCCTCGTTTCGCACGACATCGATTACCTTTCTCGAAACGGCGTCGTTTTTAATTGTTCGGCTCTTCGTCCGCATCCGAGTCATTGATTTCTCTCTAGAACAGTTTTTTTAATTGCTCGCACCTTTATTTTGCTATTTAAACATTGTTTTCGCCTTCTTTCCCTAGCAAAACACTTAATTCTGTGGAGAGTGTTGTTCGCATTCTACTTTTCCGGTTATTTCGTATAACAGAGAGAGAAAGTATGGCAATGGATCAAAAAATGACCCCCCCCGAAGATTTTTACTCGGGTCTTTCATACGTCGAGAAATGCAAAAAATTTCAGAGGTGTTTTTCTGTGTATTATACAGTATGCGTGAGAGTATAATGTGTGTGTTGCACGATTTTTGTTCGCCCACTCTGAAGCTAAATAACTCGCGTACTCCTTGTCGAAAATTTCCGGAATTTGGCGGGGAGGTTTTCGCGTTGGGGGCATCGATGATACTAAATTTTGGTGGTTAAAGGTCGAGGGGATGGGGAGATAGGGATGTTCGCGCGTAGTATCTGGAGTGAAGTTGACACTACAAAGATTTTACTATTGATAGTTAGCATTTACAATTTAAAAAAAATAAAAGTCGTCTCTACCCACGAAATTAAGTTTTTGCCTTTTTATAATAATAATATAAAATGTTCTAAAAATAAAATCTCCTAACGGATGGCGCTAGCGCAATTTTAACTCTCTCGCCGGGAAAGTCGCTTCCCGCCGCTTGACTTTATTTATTTTGTATTAAGAACTGTAAATTTTCCGGTCGTTTTTCGGCGCCCACCCCCGTCCTCGTGTCTAAAGCTTAGTTTTATCGCCGGTGCACCGTTTTTTTATATTCTCCAGCGTTTTGATAGCGGGTGTCGTCGATTTTACGCCACACACGCCGTCGATTTCTATTGTTTTAACTGCCGGCGACTTTATCGCTCACCCTTTATCGTTAGCGTGGAAATTAAACCGAATTTAAATTATTCGACGGCTGGGGGCGCTTTGTTTTTACGTAATTAATCGGGCGGTGGAAACGGGGTTATAAGGTCGTTTAACGCGGCGACGACGGGAAGCGGTTCGACCGCGACCTTCCCTTTCGACAACAGGAAATCCTTACAAGTTGCGTGGAGAAAATTAGACGCGTCAAGAAGCCGGGAAAAAGTCGAAATTTTCCCCGTGTTCGTCGGGGATTTATCCCTGCCACATCTGGGGGAGGAATAAAAAACCGGTGTCAAATTCCCTCTCGATTTGCTCGATGGCCTTAGAGAAACAATTGGCGGAGTAATAAAATTCCACCGAGTCCACCCACCGTATTCTCCCGGGACGGAAACGGAAATAAAATGTCTCGGCGACGTTTCTCGTCCCGGTAATGGCGATGGATTCTCTCGGAAGAGAGACTAAAAAAATCCGTACATAATAGCGTCAAAAATTAAGAGAATCGATCGTCTTTTCTCCTCCTCCACCCGCCTCTTCCCAAATTTTAGTTAATCCGCACCTTTTTCCCCTTCGGAATTAACGCGGGAAAATCTCAAAATAGCAGCTCCGGTGTGGAGTCTCACCTGTTACGTGTAACGGAGGCCATCGATCGGAAAACGATTCCTTCCGAAGATTTTTACGTTTTTGGACTCGGAAGTGCGAAAAAATTTGGGGGTTTTATCCGCGTGTGGCACGACATTGTCCACCAACTTTTAACACTTAATAACTCTCTCGTCTTTGATCGAAATTTGGCGGGGAGGTTTGCGTATTGGGGGAATCGATGCTGTTAAAGGTCGACGGGATGGGGGAGTTAGAGGATTTCGCGCGCCTTATCTCGACCGGGGTCGGACTTAACGAAGACTTTAGTCATTAGCGCTTGCAACTTTTTAATAAAATTTATCTCTACCCTCGAAATTAAGCCGTTTTGTCGTTTTATAATAATTAATGATTAAAAAATAACGATGTACACATTTTTTATCTAGAAATTCTCCCGAAAGTTCCGGAAACGGGATTTTCGAGCCCGTTTTCTCGTAAATTTTACTTAATTCGTACTAAAACACACAATACCCTCATTGGTGGGCACAGTTTATCGCTGCGAAAGGTGGATTTTCTTGCCATTTTCTTACAAAATTGCGGCTTCCGTTGCGCAGACGTCCCCGAATTTAACCCCCAAACCATCGGGAAGAAGACCCGATGTACGTTCGGGAAATTTCCCGACGGTAACGAGAACGAGGGATCCGGCACCCGTTTTCTTCGAGATTCTTCGGGTAATTCCGTATTCTTTAACGTGCGGAGAATTTAGGGGTTTTAATAAAAGAGGAGGGGGAAAACAAAGGAATAATAAATGGATAAATTCCGTCGTGGAAACGAAAACCAGAGAGGAACGGAAAAGGAAGCGTAAGGTAATTATCACGCGAAGTCGTGTGCCAGCGGGGATGATAGATGACTGCAGTTTTCTCGGTGTCAACGTCATTGGATGGATAGACGACGATGCGGGTTCGATCGGTAGTCTGCAAACTGCCTTCCACTTCCCGCTAACTGTACCGAAAGGCGTCGATATTCGGGGGTCGTTCGACCGAACCCACGCCTCCCTCCTTTCCCACGCGCGACGGGCGTGAGAATTTAATCACGTGTCGTTCGCTCCCCTCACCGTCTGTCTATTAGTAAACGTTTTAAAAAAACGCTCGGTTTAAATGCGTTATTTTCGATATAACGTTGCCGTTTTTCGAGTAGAATCGGGCCCCGTCTATAAAATAAAATTCGATTTTTTTACTGATTTTACAGAATTTCCGACTAAATCGAACGAATTTTTATTCCAGGACACGGAATGTTTAAAGATATCCAACATAAGAGACACCAGAACGGGAAAATACGCAAAAATACCGAGAGTAAGTGGATTTTTTTAAAAGAATTTTTCAGTGTTTTATGCCCGAAATGTTTGCGTTTAATGTTATTAAAGGAATTTTAATTAATTTTTATATACGTGTTTGCCTCCCCCCGATATTGCGGCTTTTTCGCCACGTACTGTACCGAGGGGAAGGCGGAATACCGAAGCGGAGGTCGCCACTCCAATAATAAATTCTCGAGGATTCCGATCGATTTTATTTTGTAACGAGTTATCGAGATGAGCGAGTTTTTATATCGGGAAGCCTGTTGCACCTGGAGGAATTACTCTTCTCCCGTCGACAGATGTTTTTCACTCTTTCTGAATACCGAAAAATCATAAAAAACATTCCTCGTGACTCGGCCTCTACCGAAATTCAATCGATTTTCTTTGCCTCCTTTATGTTCGTCCTAGATTCTCGAAGTGGGAGACGGAATCCGGGAAGGTATTTGCTGTAACGGAAATGTCTTCTTCTCTACGCCTGCCCCTCCGTCGGATGCCCGAGAAGACTGGGAACCCGGTGCCTGGTGCTCTCTTGCGGTCATCTGCACGGATTCTTGGACGAGAGATCCGCGAGAGTCCTTAAATTTACGACCCATTCGACAGGGCGACGCGCCGTCAAAGATCGCGTTTCTCTGCCGGGTTTTGGTGCCGGAGTGTGCGAGTTCCCTTCATTTATTTTGTTTTCCTTTTACAGGACGGGAAACTGAGAGACTCGGTGACGATGGGAGCCGCCGACGTTCCGCTCGAAGAAAAGACCGTGACCGTCGTCTACGGTTCCGATCTGGTCAATCTGTTCTACGTCAACTTCTGTTGCAACCGTCGGGAGATGGCCGAAGTGAGTATGAACGATACAAGCGATTGGGCGGTCCCCGGTGTTTTTGCTTATAAGAAATTTGACGAGAGTGAATGGAAATTTACGGAGATTTTTCTTACAGCTTTGGGCGGACGAATTATTGAAAATGGCATACAATCTTCTAGCCATGAATGCCTCTGCCGTGACGTTTTTGGAGAAGGCTTATACAGAATTACATCTGACGACGGATAAAGATTTTAAGTTGCCTGTTAAAAAGTGAGTCTCTCTCCTCATATTTGTCTGAGTGATGTGTCGCTCCGTCAGATATTTTTTGGGGTTGTGGTGTGGCGCTGTCGCTTTTTGGGCAGTCTTGACGCCGTTGGCAACTAAACAACCAATGTTATAATATCAAATTGACAAAGTATTTTCTCAGAGAATTTTTCTTAATTGGTCTTCTATTTTAATTTAATTATACATCCTTAAAATTTGATAAAATGCACCAAATACATTGATAATTTTTTTGCTTTGTCTGCTCGATATTAAATTCGATCCAAATTGAGCCGACGAAGATTAACAACGGTTTAATTTTGCAAATATCCATACGATCTGAATTCTTGCATAAGAAAATTGCATATTTTGAATGAATGGTGTAGTGGAATTTTTTAATCAAGTTTTTCAAAATATTTAAGTGAAATTTATTAATATTTTGATTCCATGCACGTTCCGTTCTTGAAATGCAAAATTTGAAATGCTTTGATGGGCCTTGTTATTTGGCTTTTAACTTTTATTTGATTGCCAGATTAAGTAGTCGTAATTCATTAATTCATTTATTTGTACAGTCTTAAAAATATATTATCATCATTTATGTTTTCATTCCTTGCTAACTCTCACTGTTGATACGAATAACAATATTTTTCTTGGGTGGGCAGATGTAAATGGTTTCTAATCGTTCTGTCTCTATTTTGGCATTCTTGTCGAGTTACATTTGGAAGCTACATAATGTCTGTTTGCACAATCTATGCTTGTTGATGAAATAAAGTTGTGTTCAAATGTAATTGTTTGATTATTGCAAAATTTGGGCAGTCGTATAAATGATTGCAGTTGTGGTCTAATTGCCTGCCAGATAATGTAACCAGAATACTTTAAAATTATTTTCTCTGTAACCTATAAAAAGGCTCAGAGGCTCACCGTGTTCAAAATTTTAGTGTATCTATTGTTTGGAGGTTTTTGATTGCCAGACATGCCTGTATGATGCAGTCATAGACATTATGTATGACTGAATAAATTGAAAAAACTGTGTCGTAGGACCAAGAGAAACAGGATGGCCATTTTTCTGTATTGACTCATGTTTGATTCATTCTAACTTTACTTTGGGGAGGAAGTATTATGGGAAATAGATATGTGAGAATATGTGTGCAACGGGCCAACTCTCTTGTCTGATTACAAAACAGCTATGAATTGCTGCAACTGCATTTTTGTCTATTAGAAACAGGTGGAAACCTCACTATAGAACTTGTCTCTTTCTGTACAATTGGCAGGCAACTAGCAGAGGCAAATTCCTATGCATGGCAATCAAGATTACTATGCGTCCTACCATTAGCATTTTTAGCATTGTTGACTTCATTTGCAATGGTGCATGACAGAAGCATGGACTGCTACGCAGGGCTGTGGAGTAGAAGTACGAGTAGGAGTAAGGAATAAGAGGAGTCAGAGGTTTTTCAAGGAGTAAGGAGTAACAAAATATATTTGTTACTCTTTATTCCTTTAATTATATTGCACATTCAAACATTAAAAAAAAAAATTATTTAATTAGGTTTTTTTAGACTTTAAAGAATTAAAAGCTAGTGGCTTTCTTTTGTTCTTCAGTAACATATCACACAAGGAACAGTTGATTTATGTATATTTTATTAAAGGAAATGCATTATGGGTCTTAATGACCACTCTTCAGTCCTTAGACTTTACAAAAGAAAAAGAGATAGATATGGGTTACATTATAAAGAATAGAACATATAATATTTTAACAAAAATTTTTTTTTATTAACGTACATTGTTGATTGTTGGTTATAATTGATATTAGAGAGTATGTTGGGCAATTGACTTGGTAATCAGTTTACTAGGGTTGCATCAGAGTTATGATTATCTTTGCGTATGCGGTTGCATTCATGGAATGAAGTTGTATCTATATGGTAGGATGGGATGGAATCACATATGGATACTACCTGTTAGGGAGGAGTGGTTTCCAGATGTCACTAATGGTTAGACCTAACCATTGAGGAGTATGAGTAGGAGTAAGGAGTAAGAGGAGTTGGAAATTTTTCAAGGAGTAGGAATAACATTTAAAAATCCAACTCTGCTCTGGAGTAGGAGTAACCTCAAAATACTCCACAGCCCTGCTGCCAAGGACTGGCAGCATATTGCCTTTAGCAACAAATTCAGGTTCGTTTTGAAAAAAGATGACCATTTCTGACACTTTTGTCCGTTCCCAAAGAACTAGAACTTATCACTAGAGTACAAGAGATAGCTGGCAAGTGCTTCAATCCTATCTTTACTGTTCAGTGGCACAGTCTCCACTACTAAAATATTCTGGTCTGGAGAGCCATCTCACACATAATAATTGCTCACCCCTAGTAGTGTGAGGGATGTACAGTGAAATGTCTGAAAAATTCTGCATCTTTGCACATTGCTTTTCATGGCAGGCCATTTTCACTTCATTGCACACAACTATGGTTTCTCAGGAATGTCTATGCCACATCCTTATATATCTCAGACCCAATTTTAAAAATAGCTAAAATATCTAGTTGAGCAAGATAAAGTAACAACTGGATTTGACAAGTCTTCAAATAAAATAGTGGAAAGGCAGAAAATGGATATTAATGTTCAATTCTCAGATGCTACAATAGAACAAGTTGCAACATGATACCCTTGTTTTTATAGATCACAACAGCTACTCACTTGTTAGTGGCATTCTTAGGGTCATTTCCTTTTAGAAGAAACTTATCTGTGTATCAATGGATTGTCCTAATGTCAATTTTGAATTTTTACAGAACTAAACAATCATATGAGGTAGAGGAAGTGGAGTGTGAGCTGTTAGATTTAGATAGTGCATTTGAGGTGGAATTGTGGTAACAAAATGGAATATTGTTTGATTCCTTTGAGCCTTTGCATTATGTTCAAATGTTCATCTGCTTGTCATTCAGATTATGCAAGTATAAGTATAAGCATATCTTTTGCTCACAAGTTCCTTGTTACATGACAGCTAGAGAATGAAATTGCAGCAGGAAAGGCTCCCAATATTCTGTCTTATTCAAATTTACATTAAAGAAATTGAATTGATGAAGAAATTTTTAACATCCAATACCTTCAAAATTAAATATCCTCTTTTAGGTGCAAAATTAGTTTTTTTTTTTTTTTAACCTCAGATTTCATATATTTTCTTCTTCAGTTTCATACAGATGTTTCAATAGTGCTGTTTTTGCTAGTGCACTTTCAACAATGTTGTTAAATCTGCTAAATCATTTTATAAAACTAGATATCTTTTATACAAAATTATTGTCATCAACAGATTTATCTGTTTACCAAAATCTTTGAACACTAGAGAGCTAAAAATAGGATATGCAGCTCCTAAAAGGGGTGAATGTTGAGTTTGGACACAAACTTTATCCTTGCCCAATTTTGGGATGTGGGACAATTCCGTGAGCCACTAACTTTGCAATCGTTTGCGACCTGCCAGACTGGATAAAATGTCAAAAATGGGTATTTAAAACAGGTAAAATCACATTTTCCAACGTAAGATTTTACTGCTGTTAATAAAATTTAATTTAAATGATTTGATCAAATTCTGTGATACTGCCTGAGCCACCAAATATGTTCAGCTCCTTGATGTATACTACTTTTGGTAATAAATGTAGCGTTTGGAAGATTGAATGAGAAATTAGATCAAAACTTGACAACGGTGATCTACTAAAGCCAAGTGACCAAAAATTTATCATGCAAAAGCATTTGTGTATTTGTAACCAATTTTATTCATTATGGTTTAAGAATACGATTCAAAATGCATGGAAAAGATCTGGTTATGACATAAGTAACTTGCTTAGACAAAAATGATCTTCATTATTATTGTTTAATTATAATTATTAATTTACTTAAGAGATGGCGCCTAACGTCTACCTCTAGTGTCAAATTACTTTATACCAATCATTTAATTAGCCTTATTATAGCCCGATATTTAGGCGATCGTTTGGTGATTTATTGTTACTACTCAGGCTTTGAGATGTTATCATTTATCAATATGTTTAATTATCTTTTAGCCTAGCAGATCACACAAGTTAGTGCTTTATAGAATGGTCTTTCCAACCCAAATTTAGGTAAGGATGAAGTTTCAAGCCCCGACTGAAAGGGTTTTCTTATTAGGGCAATCAAGTAATGTAATGATAACTCTGGAAACTCTGTGAATGATGTTGATCTTGCTTTTTGTGAAGAAATGTCTGCAAGTAAAAAAATTTCCGCTGAAGTATAAATCGACTGAATCAATATCTTGTTTTATTCCTTATGTTTCAGCTCAGTCTAAAATTGCAACTTAATGGCTAGAATCTATTTTCCAAATTTTTGTGAATAAGGATTACTCGATTCTCAAGTGTCTAGAGGCATTCGAAGAATTCACACTATCCTTGAAATCAAGAGTATTGTTTCTAGAAAAAGCTCTATGGAAGCCATAGTAAATCAGTAAATATACAGAGGGTAATGAAAATTGTTTTTGTACTTCCATGTAGAAATTTTTGGTTAATAAGAAACTCATTGTCGATAATCTCAAAGAATTAATGGCACGGCAATCCCTCCTCATAAGGGAAAATGTGCACAACAGTGTTATTTTGGATGAAGGAATTTGAAGAAGTTTATTTAATTGGTTCTTTATTTGGCTTTGCAGGGGAGGCACTATTCTGCATAATAATGGTTGATCCGAGATACCATCGCTGCCAAAGCACCAGAATTACTCGAATGCAAGGTAGCAACACATAATTGTGCAACTGGGCTTTTGGGTCCAAGTTCTTCAAAAAACATAAAAGTTCCAAGAATAACAAAGATAAGAAATTGCATCAAATAAGTCACTTCAGATGAATGCAGTGGCTTTGTCAGTTTAGTGAGAATTTTCTCTAAACAGACATATTCTACAGTTGGGAGCATCGTCGGTATCACTCGGGGAAATAAACTTTATCAGTCCAAGAAATGTTCCACAGCCAATCACTCTCCTCCTTGGTCTGAGCTATGGTTTGAAATGCAAATATCTGTCTGGCATCTGCATTGAAAGACAAAATTTGTTGAATGTGAGACATCTTGTAAGAGTAGAAGAGCATAATGTTCCTCAGTTTTGTGAATTGTTGAGTATAGTTTATATAACATTAATAAATAATTACCTTAACTGTATATTAATTTAATGACAGAAAAAATATAAAATTCATTAATTACATTAACACATTTTAATTAAATTTAATTTGTTCATTAATACATAACCAAAGTCATAGAATTGTTAGTTTGGCACTTGGTCTATTGATATTAAATCCGGCTTCGTCTCAAAATGTCTTTACTTCCATGTCTTTTATGGTTAACGTGACTATACATTTTAAGGTTTAGCAAGTTAATTGTGCATGGCATGGAAATAAATGTACAGTACTTCTTGAGATGAAGTTAAATTTAATGTCAAAGGGTTGAACATTAAACTTGGTTACATATTAACGAACAAATTAAGTTTGTATATTAAAAATTCAGTTAAGATATGTTAAGGTAATTAATGAATATTATATATTTTCTGTCGTTAAAGTAATTTATAGTTAAGATAATTATTCACAAATATTAACTGCAGATATTGACACATTAACTTTTATAATAAATTATTTATTACAAAAGTTAATGCAATGTATTCTATGTTTATAAATGCCACTGAGATAATGCAAATTGAAGAGGCATTGTTTAACATATTTTCTTGCTCTTTTTCATAATTCTAAATTTATTATTCTTTTTTGCAGTTTAAGGAATAAAAATTGAAATTATTTATTGCGATAATTAATAACAATACTTTATGTATTTGAAATTTTGATTTTTCTCTTTTTAAATATAATTAATGAAATGCTGAGAAGTAAGTGAAGCATTTTGTAGTTCTCTTTGAACTACAAAACACAAAAAAACCATTGTAATTAAAAAAGAAGATTTAATTAAACTTGTTAAAGTTTGTATAATTAATGAGATTGCATTAAACAGATTTATTCTTTATTTTACCCCTTTCTCTCTCTTATATATTAAATATATTTTGAAAGAGAATATCGTGCTTAACGTGATATAATTTTGATTTTAATTGAATATTTCTGTGCAGATTAAATCTAATTAAGATATTACAAATAGTTTAACTTAATTTGGTTAGTAGACTAGTTTGGTGGTTGGTAATTAAATTACTATAATTCGGACGACGTAATGACGTTCTCTCCGTTATAATTATAGTATTGTTAGGATGTTTGCTCAACACAAAGATGACAAGAAACGTGTAGAAAAGGCTCTCGAAGCATGTAATCTTCCTACGGGAAAGGTGAGTTAATGCAGGTAATAGTCTTCTTTTTCTTTTTGTCCATACATCCGAATAATCTAAAATTTTTCTTTTGATTATTTCATTGGTATTACTACTACTGTTGTTTTAGAATGATGGAATCTCTTCGGAAAAATTTACTTTCGACGTATTCTTCAATTTTTATCGGCATCTCGTCGGCAGGGAAGAGGTGGATAACATTTTCGAAAGCTTGTAAGTTTATAAATAACTGTTTCTTTTTATGTTATTTGAGGTTAATGTTAGAAAATATAGAGAGTTGCCTTAATTTCTAAAGTATCCATTTGAATTACAAATACATAATAAGTAAATTATGAAAATCAAAATTTCACAAACAGTTAGCATTAAACTCTATAGATACCTTAAACAATACAATCAATTCATTGAGTATTGACATTTTTTCTATCTGTTAACCTTCTTTCTTCCTTTTGTTCTGATATTAGGATGAGACAATTGGATAGATTGATCATTACCATCTCTTTCTTCCGGCTTTTTTTTTCTCTGTATTGTCTAGGAGTTAACTTTCCTTTTCACTCACATCTCTCAACCTTTTTCCCAGTCTTTCTCACTATCCCAGTGCTACAACTCTCCTTGTATAAGCCCATTTTGAAAGCCACTTTCCTTTGTCCTGTTTTGTAAGGTTGGATGATTTGTATGTTCAAATCGTCTAACCTTACTGAACTAATTTGTTGCAGCAACACATGTACCAACACACACACTTTCACTAATCTTTGTTTTTAATGTGTTCACCAGGTTTTTGTAATTAAAATTATGAATATCAAAAGCAATATTTATTTAATATCTACATAAATTATGGAATAAAAGAAAATTTTATTAAAGTATAACATTGGTATTGTTAGAGTTCACAATACAAAGATCCACTTAAGTTCTTTGTAAAAAGGGCTGGCAGAATTACAACTTAATAAAGTAAAAATTACATTACGGATGTACAATTACATTACAGCCCTTTTTACAAAGAAATATATTTTTAATTGTGTTAGGATTGTCACCTGTGGACATTTTAGACTATTTTACATATTTGTGTAGAGGCATAACCTCTAAAGAAAGGTTGTCTGTCCAATGGAAAATAGTTGTTCCTGGTGATTGGACATGGCAAGCAATGAAGATAGGACTAGTATTCATCTGTAATGTAATTTTTACTTTATTAAACCCATATAAGTTTTTGGAATCTTTAGGTCCTTTTTTTGCATTGTAGAAACATAGTAAAATGTTAGCGAAGTCGACTTTTTCTCATAGGCTCTTCCTTGCCTAAATACCTAATATATGTAAAAGTCTCATTAGTATTTATTAAAAATTGCAACATCAGCCACTGTTTAGAATTGATATATCATTGTTGTTAATTTATCTATACATCAGGTTGTGTTTCTATGTTAAATGATTTTTCTTAATCATTTAAATTAAAAATTAATTAGATTTAAAAGTAAACATTTTAATTTAAAAATATATGCAGAATTATTTTATACTTTTCATTTCTAAATTTTTCTAAATCAAAAGGAAATGAAACGAGTACTTGTAAACAAGTTACATAATTAAGTGATTCACATTAACTTCCTGTTCAGATAATAATAATTAAATTGTTTCAAATTCATTTACTTTTAAACTTTTCATCTAAACAATTTGCCCATGAATACATTTGCTAAGTAATTAATTTTGAAAATTTCATTTAGTAAATTTTCCATAAAAATTTCAATATTAGATCATTTATTTTAGTTAAAATATGCTTTTTTTTTCCTTAAGAAATTTAATTTTAGATACAAAAAACTCTTACATTTCATGGAATAAATGACATATTTTAATTTGAAACATATAGAATAATTGCAGTTTTGTGACGATTATCAATCTTCAGCCAAATAACTTTAAAAATAATTAATTTTGTGTTAAAAGAAATTAGGAGTTATTTTATTATAAATACTTCTGCTTATAAACAAGCAAATAAATTATTTTTAATATTTATGTTATTACGTGAAAGAACTGAGTTTTAAAGTCGTTCGACAGGTGCGGAGGGAATAAGAAAAAGGGCATGACGGCCGAACAGCTGGTGAATTTCCTAAATAAAGAACAACGAGACCCTCGACTAAACGAGATTTTATATCCTTATTGCAATCTTGCGCACGGTGCGGAGATTATTAAACAATATGAAAGTAAAAACTATGCACAAAAAGGTAAAAGTAAAGTGAATTTAAGAATTAAATAAATAAACGAAACTTAGAAAATTAACAAGCAAATATTTTTAGGACTTCTATCGGCGGATGGATTTCTAAAATATTTAATGAGCGATGATAATGCCATAGTGGCACCGGAAAAATTTGATTTAAATCAGGATATGGATCATCCTCTTAGTCATTATTTTATCAATTCCTCGCATAATACTTACCTAACAGGTAAATCATTTTTTTTTGTGTTTAACATATCTACATATTCTTTATAATTATTAAACATTCATATGATTTTAGGGCATCAGTTGACGGGGCGGTCTTCGGTAGAGATGTATCGACAATGTCTGTTGGCCGGATGTCGATGCGTGGAATTGGACTGTTGGAATGGTCGCAACTCGGATGAAGAACCCATCATCACTCACGGCTACACGGTCGTAACCGAAATTCTGTTGAAAGTAAAAAGTCTTATTTTAATTCAAATTTATTTTAAAATATTTTGATTATTTTACAGTAAATATTAAAATTTTAGCTATTTTTATTCAGGAAGTATTAGAGGCAATTGCAGATAGCGCTTTCAAAACATCTGCTTATCCAGTCATCTTGTCATTTGAAAACCATTGCTCGTAAGTAAGTTAGTACTTAAAGACATTAGGTCTATCGCATTATAACTTTTGTTTTTATTTCCAAATTAGACAAAAACAGCAGGCCAAAATGGCAATGTACTGTTCAAAAATATTTGGAGATATGCTACTGATGGAGCCACTGTCGACGCATCAGGTTAGTTTTATGAATATGCATTGTTGCAATATTTATGTTATAGTTACTTGATTTTTTAAATAATAAAATTATAATTAAAAAAAAGGAAAAAAATTGAATTTAAATTAATTCTCTGAAGGTAATATTATTAATTCTAAGAAAACCTAAAGTTAAATCAATGTCTCTCGGTATTTAGTAAGTCTGATCCTGCCATTCAGATGGATTGGGCAGCAACAGTTTTCCATTTTGTGTGATCTTTTGTGACATGCAATTTTTCATTTAATAATGATATTTTAGAAATCATTTTTTAATGTACCGAGTCAGTCTTTGCTTCACTTTATTTTTTTTTTCCATCAGAAGGTAGCCATTACAATGCACTCTTAGAATGCCTATGATCCAATAAATGTAGATGACCAGTCAATTGCATTTTGTTGCCGTCTATCACATTGTCTTAGTTTTTTTTTATTCATAACTTTGCAGATTTCAACATTTATAATGCAGTCACAATAATTGATTTTAAGGATTCCTGATGGAACACATTTTAATTTTTGCACTATTTTTCTCAATAAATAAAATCAAGTAATTGTATTTATGAATTATTTGTTTTAATAAACAAACAGATAGCATGAAATAGATTTGACATTAAACTTGAATTGTAATCTATGTCATATGTATGGTTCTGCCAAAAATGTCATTTGGATGTCTAGAATGTATAGGTTTTTTGCAGTAGTCACAGTCCAAATTCATTAAGTGTGTTGAGCAATAATGCTTTGGACAATCATTAAACTGTTACTTCCAAGGCAATAGAGGTTGAAGCACTTGTCAGAGGGATTAAAATTATTTCATTGGGAAATGTTCTTGGCAAGATTAAACCATCTTTATATTGTACTAATATATTATGTTTCTACAAACATAATTATTGATACAAATATAAACATCTATAAAACCAATTTTTAGATGTTTATATTTGTATATATACACTAGAGTAAAGCAATATCAGGCCAAGTGCTGTAGTGGGTTTTAGGGGGCTTGGACACCAAGTCGTCTTAGTCAGCACTGTGAGTAAACAATATGGTTATATCTAAATTAATAGTTCTGGAATTGAAGATTGAACAGAGGTCTGAATAGCATAACCGGGAATGCGTTTGCATGGCAAGTGGGGATCGGGGATTCAATTTCCACTTGCATTCTTTTCTTCCTGAACCTTCTAAATTAATTATTAAATATTAATTTAATTATAATTATTAAATTTGTCAAGAGACTGCAACTAATGCATACTTCTGGGCCAAATTACTTTATGTTTAATTAGAAAATAGTAGCATTAATATAGTCCAATATAATTTGGCAGTCATTTGGTTTTAATTATTGTTGATATGCTGTGATTTAGCATTTGTGTTAAATATTGTTTAAATAAGTGACAATGCATGTGCAGTCTGTGACTGCATGCTTTTGTATGATTCTAAGAATCATGCTAGAAAGATTCACTCTTAGAATTGTACAGAATGGCCAAAATATGGCATTGTTTATTGATTGAACAAATGCTGTTTTCCATTAATCCGAATATAGATTGTTTTTTGTCAGGCTGTTTCTATGCTTTTACACAATAAAGATTACACAAAACTGAGCAAACCCAATATAATTGTGACTTGTTACATAATCGATACACACAATAAATGTGTATAATTATGAACATAGAGAATATAAAATCCAGTACAAGAAAATCACATATATATGGTATAACTGAGCCATCAAGGTGATGGAAGCTGGGGATTTTTTTTGGCCTGGAGAAAACTTGGGGTTCATAGTGGTTCCTATCTCTATAAATTAGTGTTATCTTTATTAACACAATAAAAAGCAGTATTAAAGATCTTGAGTCTTGTGTGTGCATTGGGGCTGGCATCCACTGGTTTGACCAAGACCGTCTTGAAGATTTGGTTTTTGCTGACAATATCTCCTTATTAGAGGAAAGCAAGACAATGCTACAGCACGCTATGACTCGGGAGACACACAAAATTGGCCTCAGGATAAACGCCGTACAGTTGAAAATTATGCATGTATGTGACACTGACCGTATGTGGGGAGTAATTGTCAGAGTACAACGATTGGAGGAGGTGGAGAGATTTACCTACTTGGGTAGTGTTATTTCCCAAAATGGTGACGTGGAAATGGATGTGAAGTGCTGCATCAGAAAAGTGGCAACAGTCTTCTGGTGGATGAACAAAATCTGGTCCTCACCATCCATCTCATTGAGAATCAAATTCCACCTGTTCATTTCCATTGTGATTTTGATAGCTGTTTATGCTAGTGAGTCCTGGAAGACATCAGGAAACATCAATAGAAGGCTTGATGTATTCCAATAGAGATGCTTATGACGAATCCTAAAGATCTGATATTTAGATCATATTACCAATGAATAAGTTTTCCAAAGAAGATGCAAACTTCATAACATTGTCACCCATAGAAGTGTCCGACTGGTCGGCCACATTTTTTGTATGAAGAATAATAGGATCCCTAAGACAGCCATGAAGTGGGTTTCCCTGGTGCCAAACGACCATGAGGATGCCCCAGGAATACTTGTAGAACTTTTCTTCAAGATTTGAAGATGCTGAATATGACTTTGGAGGAAGCTGAAGCCCTCGTCCACGATTGAAGTCAATGGAAGTAATTGCTGCCCAGTATGCTACCTAGCATTGGAGATACTACTACTACCACTAATAAAGATCGTATATTAGTAAAGAAACATTCTGTGTATTCCATTCGTTGGCAAAAAGGCAAAAGGGGTCTGCTAAAGAGCATATAGCTTGCTTTATCCTTGGACCTCATATAAATGCTTGACAGCTGTGTGTAACAAAATAAATGTAACAGTGTTATTGTAGAAGTCCAGTGTGATTAACTGCTGAGTATAAGTTTATCAAAATGAAGGCAAAGTTACGAAATATAACATGTGGATCAGACAGCTTAGTATGGGTTTATTGGTAATCCTGATGTGTGTCATATCTTTGTTCATCTTTGAAATATTATTGAATATATCTACAGTAATTTTTACAAGTGTTAACACAAAATAATTATACAAAGTTTGTTTGAAAAAAGACGGGAAAAAATAATAGGAACAGTGCATTGCAAGCAGAGGGAAATACTTTGAAGAGACAAATGTATATAATACTGTAATTACAGTAATAAAGTTTCTATGAGAAAAATCCGGTCTTTTTTTAACAGACCTTATATAGCTTTGCTATCTTCTTAGATATTATCTTATTAGTTTCTTACACGTGTGTGCATTTACTGTGTATATTATTCTAAAGTCAAACAATTTGCCGAATTGTCAGGTTGTTATTTTCAGGCTATTTTTAATAATCGGTTACAAATTATTGGCATATCTTCATGGTAAGAAGTTGTGTGTTTGAGTCCCACTTCAGACCAATTCTTTTCTTCTGGAAATTTCTAAATTAAAAATTAATTAATTATAATTATTTAAATGAATACAAGATGGGTGTCTATCTACCTCTAGTCAAGATTAATTCGTAACTAATTATTAACATAGTCTGAAAATTGCCAATAATTTAGCAGATCGTTTGACTTTAATCAATTAAATTGCAATTTGAGTTGATGTTTGTTAAGTATATTAATTATTCTATACATAAATTCATCAGAATAGACATAAATGATTTGTTGAAAATAAATATTACCATTATTACTAATCATTAAGTGGTAAGTAGATTTCTATAACTTAAGTTATTACAACTTTAATTCAACACTTTGCATTCGACTTTCTCAATGCTATGGTCGATCTACTTACGGATAAGACCGCTCCTATGAAGGACTCAAACAACATTTTAGATGGAACTTACACACACAATGTAATTATTCCAATTACATGAACTGCTCAGTTATCCAAAGGCTTTGGATAACGGAATGGGTCGATTAGAAGAAAATTAGTTCCGTCATAAGATTAATAGTAGCATCTTTAGCAGCAAATAAATTTCAAAGTTTAACCTAAGTTTTGTCAGAAACACTGGCCAAACTAAAATAATATATTAATTAAACAGAGACATATGTCAATGGCAAATGAATACAATAAAGTAATTGCAGTTAGTAGCTAATGCTTTCTTTGATCTGGCCTAGTATTTGGCTGCAGTTTCAAGTGAGTATTGCATTCACTTTGCCATCATAAATAAAAATAAATTGTTTATATTATGTTCGATTTTTGTTTATAATAAAAATTGTCTGAGAAATAAATGACAATTACACCATATTTAAATATAGATAAAACGCAAGCTGTTTGTTAAGCTGGCATTGTAAGACCTTTTTTTTTTTTTGGTTAAATCTGTTAATCATCTGTGTGCGGTGCTGGCTCAATGGTAACTCAATGTAGCTGAGGCAAAATCAATTTTTATATTTATTTCTACCCCTGCTGGAATGGTTATCAAAAAAGTCGCTTCTCGCTTGCACTCATCTATGAACTATTATATTTATAAACAACTTGAAAGTATATTTATGAAAGTTTATTGTATTCTAGTTAATATTTTTATTTATTCATTTATTTATCCTCCTTTTGAACATTTTTGATCGCTTGTTTTGCCACTCTAGTCAGTCACCTCATTGCCTTGCCCATCAAGCCAGCCCATTTGTTTGTTAATTAAGACATTCCATCATTTGTGTAAACCTTGAAACCAGACAAAAATAAGTTTAAAAATGTCAACAAAGAGAAGTCTGACTTTTATTACTTTGGTTTCAACTATGTGACAATATCCAGAAGGCTATCAGAACATTACTTGCATGCTGGTAAAAACTATTTCATCCCTCATCGCTATTGGAATGGGCATAAGTCATAAATGCATGTTATTTCAATAATGCATAGACTTGGATTCGAGATTCGTTTGATCTGCCATTTCTCTACTACAGGATAACTATTGAACTCTCATATTAGATAAGGTAGTACAAGTTCCATTTTGTTATTTCAACATCACAATATGATTTAATTTTGATAAAGTTTTATTTCCTTCTTGTAGTTTGTATTAACTTATTGTTAATGTTATCATCCATAATTTTATACTAACATACCTTTATTGTGGTGGCTTCATTTAATATTTGTACAGTCCTGTTTATTTCAGCATTTTATGAGATATTGCCAACCTTCTGACCTTTCTCCAAATTTACTGTCGATCAACAAACAGATGGGACTTGGCCACGATATTCTGCAAGAATGTTCACTTGGCATAGTTTACCAAAGCTGGCCAAATAGTAGGACAAAAACATTTCTAATAAATTCTCTTTTTTGTTTTTCTTAACAAGCAGTTTGTCTTTTTTATTTATCAATACAAATAACAAAGCAAATTAAGGACAAAGATTAACATTAACAAATATACATGCATTTACGTTATACAGTCGACCCCCTATAAGATATAGATACGTTCCAATTTATTAGGAATCCGATTTCTTACAAGTCGTTCCAATCACAGCCCGACACGTGTCAAGTTTACGGACTATGGCTGATTGAAAGATTTCCTTCCATAAAATTAATCGATTCTACACTAATCCGACTCAACATTTCCAAAATACGTATATTTTTTCGTAGTTTTATAGGAATCGTAATTATAGGGACCGTAATTATAGGGGGGTCGACTGTACATACATGATGTATTGGTGGCAGTTTCAAAAATAAATTGTTTGTAGACAAGACAATCGAATGAAAGTAGAACCGTGAGCAGTTTGGTAGCATTACAAATCAGACACTGCAATACCGTGAGAAGATTGCACTCATTGCGCTGCTAAGTCTATCTTTGAGTACTGCCAAACTCTGTGGTGCTACTTGCAAGTTTTTCTTTTAGTTTTTCATAATTTTAACGAATTGTAAATACTAAATATTATTATGAATTTTTAAAATTTATATTTAAATATTCGTTTTTATTTTTGTGTTTAGCTGAAGCCAAATCAGTCTTTGCCTTCTCCTAACCAATTGATTAGAAAAATTATTATAAAAAACAAGAGAAAACATTATCCGAGAGGTGTGAATTAGTTTTGTACATTAATATAATTTATATTTGTTAAAAATTTTATTTTGAATTGATTATTATTATATTCAAGCATCTAAACCGGTAGATGCCAATGTCAACAAAGAAGACCAACCTACACCATTGCCCCAGACGGCAGAGAGACTAAATTCCGTTACATCGGTTGGTTCATTGACAAGCAATACGGAAGAGAGTCAGATCGATCCGGGAGGAGGAGGAATGGGAGATGCTGTGGTGAATGGCATAGATGCTTCTCTGTCAGTGAAGAGTCCGGGTATTGGTTGCGACGTCGAAGAGAGCGACACAGAGTCCGGATCCGAAGACGAGGATTCACAGGACAGACAGACGGAAGATCAAAATGAAGTGAATATATACACTAAACATTTCGTTAACATTTAAAAGAAATTTAATTTCTTAATTTTAAACAAATCACTTACAAATACTTAGGGTACGGCCGCCAAAGAATCCGAAGCCGGAGCCGAGATGTCCGCCCTCGTCAATTACATTCAGCCAGTTCGGTTTCATTCGTTTGAATATGCCGAAAGTAATTACAATATATTATAATAAGATCTATTAAAGACAATTTCTGCTCATTTTTAAAACTGTGATAAAATAAAACATATAAAAGCAATAATATAAATTAGTTTTGAAATAAGAAAATTAAATTAAAATATGATTTTAAGAAATAAAACAATTTTTGCCCAGGAAGAAATAGAAGCTATGAAATATCTTCCTTTGTTGAAACACAAGCCACAAATTTATTAAAAGAAAGACCTATAGAATTTGTCAAGTATCCTTTTTAAATTATAAAACTGCTGCTTAATACTTAGTTTGTTTTTAATTATTATTTTTTAAGTTAATTATAACAATACACGATAAGTTATTGTATTTACTTTGTAGATCAACATAAACTATTCTCGTTTTATGTGATTCGAGTTTGTAAATATAAAGGTAACTGATGCATTTCGTACCTCTTCCGGCACACAATTTTATAAGAGAAAATTAATGTTTATGGTTGCTTTAGTGGCCCTCATTGTGTTATAGAACTTACAAAATTCAAATGAGTTTCTGTATTTTCCAAAAAAGAATATTCTAAAATTGCAATGATGTTATTTAGACTTAAAGCATAGTTTAAAAAACTGAATATTAGAAGTAGCAAAGTTTTAAATATAATGATTTGTAACTTTAGAAGAATAAGTTCAGCATTATTTGCCATGCCTGTGCCAGATTCAATTTGGCTGTATTATTAACATACTCACCATTATTCCATGTTTATAAATCTTGATGGTTTCTAAAGTCCTTAGCTTCAGATTGTTCCTTTGTAGTTTAACCTCCTCCCAACATGGCGACAGCCTGGACTCACAAGCAAATTGTGAAGATTGACATTTTGTAAATGTATTAGCTATTCTGGCAAGCTTAGATTTTCATAATTAAATTTACTTAACTGATATTAAACATTAAAAGTTGTTTATAAACTCAATTAGAATTTAATTAGTGTTTTTAGGTTCCTTAACCATCATCTTTGGATAGTTTTTTAGAATTAGAATTTGTATTTTTTTAGAACTACTCTCATCCCTCCAGGAGAGAGCGCAATTTTTCAGAGTTTCTGTTCTAAAAAATGGAGGATGAGAGTTAAAGGATCTCGTATATAACAAATTTGTTATATATGAATGTTATATTAATGTAATTTTTAGTTTGTTGTCATCTGAAATGATTAACTACATCAATTGAAGGTTTAATATATAGTAGATTATATTTTTACATTTGTAATATCATAGCAGTTTCCTCAATTAATGCCAGTTACAATAAACGACAGTTAAGCAGAATATATCCTCGGGGAACAAGAGTAGATTCCAGTAATTACATGCCTCAGGTAAAAATAATGTTTGAATTATTTTTTTGTTTATTAAATTCTTGAATTAAAAACTTCTCTTGCTTTAGGTATTTTGGAATGCAGGTTGTCAACTTACGGCTCTTAACTTTCAGACGTTAGGTAACTATAATTGTGCAAATTTAAATGTGTTTTTCATTCTCAAGATAATTACATTTAATGTTCTGATATCATTTTAGATCTTGGTATGCAATTAAATTTGGGTATTTTTGAATACAATGGACGCAGCGGTTATTTACTAAAACCGGATTTTATGAGAAGAAATGATCGAAAATTCGATCCGTTTACTGAATCGACCGTCGACGGAATTATTGCAGGGACGGTAACTGTTAAAGTAAGTGTTAATTTATCAAATGGTTGCATGTCTCAATTATATCTAAATTACAAATTATTAGAAAAACAAGTATTATTAACTTTTGCTTTTAGGTAATTTCAGGACAGTTTCTGTCAGATAAAAGAGTGGGAACGTATGTCGAAGTTGACATGTACGGTCTTCCTGCCGACACCGTTAGAAGACGTTTTCGAACGAAGACAATTCCAGCAAATGGAATAAATCCATTTTATGATGAAGAGCCATTTGTTTTTAAAAAAGTTAGTTACCCATTTAAATTTATTTTGAAAATATACACCATCTTTAAAAGATTTCATTTTCAAATTGTTTTGATTAAAAATCTTTAAAGGTAGTGCTACCGGATTTAGCTTGTTTAAGATTTTCTGTTTACGATGACGGCAATAAATTTATTGGCCATAGAGTTCTGCCTGTAGTCGGTCTACGTCCAGGTAAGATATTTTTCGTTCTATTTGTGCATTTATAACTTTGATTAGAAAAAGTTTGAATGTATTCTGATGTGATAGAAATGAAGTGAAATATTCTTGCAACAAAAATCTAGATTTAGCAATTATTCATTTATGTTTACATTTAGCAGCATATGAAGTCTGTCTGGAAAATATCCTGCTATTGTTAATATAACAAGAATTGTTTGTGTGATATCAGTGTAACTTGGCACCAAAGGAGAATAGACTGGAATGCACATGTTTAAACAATAACGACTCACTGTATCATTGAATGAGCATGCTGAAAAGTGTCTATATCAAAACATCAAATTATCCATGTGACTCCGTCACTGTACAATTCAAGTTTGACACTCAGTAACTCCTGGTTTTTCCAAAACTAAAATAACCTTTAAAAGAGAAGCAATTTCAGACCATCATTGAGATCCAGGAAAACAGGAGACAGCTGATGGCAGTTCCAACAAAGGATTTTGCAAAGTGTTTTGAACAGTGGAAGATATGCCAGGAGAACTGTATTAGGCTTTGTTTTTTGTTAGTTATGGCAACACAACACTTGGGCCTAGGGGATGCCTTCAGGTCTTTTTAAGGGTAACTGGCCCCTATTTAGGCATTAAAGATGTGGAGAAAATCTGGAAAACTCCACGTGGCCAGCCTGTTCTGATGAGGCATGAACTCATGACCAAATATTGGTGTTCGGGGAATGGAACTGCTTAGCCACTGGTGAGTACAGACCGTGTGAGGTCCCAAGGTGCCTACTTTGATGGGGACAAAGGTGTTGTTTGCCTATATACAATATTTCTTGTATCTTCAATAAATCTCTATTTTTCATATTACTTGGCTGGATACTTTCCTGACAGACCACATATATACAAATATTTTAAGTCATGATAGAATATCCAAATTCAAAATAACCTTTATTACAATAAGTTGTCAGTACTTATTGCAATCTTTTGTTTCTAATACATCATTTACAATATTTATATGTATTATATGTTTATATGCATTATATGTTAAAATGACTTTATTATTAAGATTCTTATTCAAAAAACATTACTAGCTTGCTTATTTTGCTACAGTACATGTTTAAAATGTCTCTTAGCCAGAAAACACTGGTGAAATTTACATGCTTGTTTCTTGTGCATTTTGTCTCATTTACTAATAAATTATAATTCTTTCATGGTAGTGTTATTGAGTATAAGATACCATCTTGGCTAATCTATCGATTATCAGAGCTGCATAACATCGGCTCTTCTATGACAATGTTGCATGTTGCCATACAATTGGAAACATTGCAGTTTTAATTTGTATTTTGTTCTTATGTATGGAAAATGTACAAACTGCCGTGGAACTTCTGCTCAAGTGTATTACACGTTCCTTCAAACAAATTTATTTATTTTGCCATAAAATTGCCATAACATTTCAGTGGAACTAATACATCGTAAACTATGCACATTATTGTGCAACTTGGAAAGACCTTTTGTACCCATTAAAGCAAACACTCTGTATATTTTTACCTTTGGTGGCAAATTAGGACAGTAGAATTTTGTTTCAGTAGGATTTTATTTGGTATTTTTCAATAACTGAACCATAGTTAATAATTTAGTTTTATTTGAATAAAAAGTTAATATTAAAATTTTTTAAAATTTCAAATGCCTCGTCATTCAGAAGAACATAAAAAATTAACTCTAGTAGGAAAGTTAACTTTTTAACAAAGTGCCACTTTTATCTCTTTGAATAACCTAAATTGCAATTTTTTTTATTTCTTTGTGTCATGCTCATCAAATAAAACTTTATTTAATAGGTTCAGTAGACAATCAATGATTCAATGGAAGGGATGTAAAAATTTTACAGTTAATAAAATTTCAAGTTACGGAAACTACCATTAGTTTAGAGATCATAACTATTGCAATACAAACAATATACAGTAGTTATACTTGATGCGATTATTTTTTAGATACATATACATACAAGATCAAAACATTTTCACTATTAGTGAAAAGTCCATGCAAGTTCGTCCTTAATGATTTGTTACTTTACGCTTGACAATGTTTCAGAGGTGGTCGATCAAGTCGAAAGCCCCCTTTTTATGAAAGACATTGTTTATAGATTTTAAGGAGCATTCTATAAAGCTTTTTGGGCTAAATATGGATTGAAATATATATTCATAATTAATAATATAACTGGAATATTTTTATAATAAATAAAAAAAGTATTTAATTTTACAGCATTTGTTCTATAACCTAGATTAGTATTTTCAGTCTTTTTGAAGGACTGTCTTAAGGTTTGCTTACAATACAATTTATGTAATTATAATTATCAAATTTATCGAGAGACGGCACCTACTTCTAGGCTAAATTACTCGACGTGTAATTATTAAATGGTAGCATTACTATAGCCAAATGTAATTCAGCAATCATTTGACATAAATCTTAAATATATTAAATACATCAAATATGTTCTTCCTATGAAGTATAATTAATGTATGTATGTATATTTAAAATATCAAAAGATATTTATTAAATAGATATTAAATTGGGATCCCAGAAAAATATAAATGATTCATTGAGAGGAAACTGTATTAATGGATGCAGTTAAAATGTAAGGAGGATGTTCTCTGAATACTGATGGTTTTATAGTTTTGTTTGACAAATATTTTTAGATATTTTAAATGCATTTAAAGATTTCTTTTTATGTACAAGTACATTTGCATATATTTGTTGGAAAGATCATAAACATGCATTTAAATTTTAAATATCTTCAACAAAAAATGTGTATAAATTTTCCTTACTATATTAACTTTAACTATATATTAACTATTATAAATTACTATATTATTATTATTACTATATTATAAATTACTATATTATTGCTATATTAACTTTAACTTATATTAACTATTTACTGGTAAATAGTTTCTATGCTTAATTATCAATTAAAGTATTTTTAAATCCGTATCAACAAAACAGAGAAACAAAAATATGTGCACACAGAAATATATTAACACTGTAAAAAGTAGTCATTTATATTATAATTAATGTTATTTTTTGACTGACTTGCATAAGATTGTCTCTTATCTCTATCTTAAATCTAATTCTAGAATCTAGGTCTGCCATTACCTTTTATAGCTTACATAGTATCAGTTTAAGAGAATAGATCAGTTTGACCTAGATAAAATAATAAGTAATATATATTTTCATATTGGTACCAACATGTGCAACATATCTGCTATAATTTTTTGTTGATAAAAAAATTAACTATGACATCTTTAAAGTACTTTTAATAAAATACTGTTATTACAATTTTTGATGTTGTGTTCGTATTGTATCGATACACATCAAATTAAATATAGAAATTTGACATAATGATATGTTCTAATAAAAAAATGACAAAAATTTACAGTACTCAATGCATTTAGATGTGTGTAAATGTATACAATTTTAAGATTAAGAGAAAACAAAATAAGAATTTGAGAGACAAAACATTCTAAAGACAAATTTTTGATTTATATTGTATATTTCTTGTATTGGATTAATTTAATGCAATGGCTTGAATATTTCTTAAATTTTAAAAAGGTTATAACTTTTAAAAATCACAAAACAGGCTAATTTAGTAATTTTTGTTTGATTTTTTTTAATGCTTATGAAAATGAAAGTTTGATTTGGCCAAAGGATGCTGGCACGAGACGTTAATCATCTGTTTTTTTCAGATGGCATTTTGTATCTTCTGTTATATTAAAAAACTTTGGATTAGTGTTCCAAGAAGTATATTCTAAAGAATGTCAACACATTCTTTAGAAGACGGAATTAATCGGTCCAAAAAGACACTGCTAATTTTTTTAGCTCTTTCTGTTCAGTGGGCACCTAGAAGGCCTTTTTAGAAAGCCCGTAATGGGTTTGGCTATGTGGCAAGGGATAGAGCCTGAAGCATTTGGAAGAACCACCCCAAAAATTTCCAGTTTTTCAACCCATTTGGATTTGATTCCGGGTCTTCGGAGTGGTAGGCTGACAGCCTATCTGATTGCCCATCTCATTGTCATACTTTGGTATTACAAACAGAAATCGTTACAATTGCATCTTTAATAAATTGGATTTTCTACAGCTTTACAATATTTACTTTAATTGCTTGCAGATATCTAGCAGTTCATCCATATTTAAATGTATTTGAAAACAAGCATGGATTACACGAAAATTGTATTTTTTTTCTTGCAATACTCTGTGAGCATATGCCATCGTGAAATGAATAAATACAGTAATCTCGTGCAGATGGCCCATACAAAATAACAGTATTTTTTTGCTTTGTCATTAATTTATATTAAACGTATTATTATGTAAAACATTAATATATTTCTATTAAATTTACATAAGCTAAATAGCTCGACAAAATGATTTGTGTAATTAATTTGCATTTTTATAATTTATCGTTGTCCATTAATTACATTTAAATTATGATAATTATCATGAGAAGTATAATTTTGCATGTTTCGAAATAATTTAATATTTATATATTCCTTTTCTACGGATAATTATCCTTAATTGTAACGTTAATGTAATAATTAGTTTCTAGTTGTTTCTAGTTGTTGTTTTAATAGAAATATCATTAATTGTGCCACTCACTTGCCAAATTGATTTCTCCACTTTTTATTTTATGGAGTTAAAGTGACAAAGTAATATATGTTCTTTTTTAAAATTCCTTTTAAAATATGAATTCAAATAAACATTGTAGAATGTATTATTGTAGATGTAGCTTTTATTTAACGACATATAAAATGTATAAGATAGCATGGATATGCTATAATGGTTGAGGGAGTTAATCAATTTGGCAAGTGAAAAACGTAATAACATCAAATTCAGTCCTCACATAAGTGTACATTTTTTATTAGAGATTTTTTGCAAAAATGAATAATAACTGTTCTGTTACTGTTACAATGGTAACAGTAACAGAATAGTTAATTTAAGCAAAATAATAATAATTTTGTTTAAATTGATTATTCAACAACATAAATGATGTCTTTTTCGTCAGCTGAATTTGAGGTCCCATCGTGTCGATTTGTTCTTAAATTTTTATAAGAATCATGTTTAATAGGAGGAATGAAAATAATTATTTTTAGTTTTATCTATCTCAAAATAACGGGTATAACTTTTCTTTTTTGTAAAAACAATTGTCACCAAAATTAAAACAATTGTTTAATATTCCACAAGTATACTTATTTCTGTGGCAGTTGGACTGTAACTAATTTCTTTTACTACTTTTTGTGATGAGATAACATTAAATAATTTACCGTTATCTACAAAGCATTGGTTAGCACCCACTGCGATTGCAATGCAATCGCGGTGTGTGCTGGCGGATTAACGTTACAGTATGGAGTTAGATTGACTTCTGAAATAAATAAAAATTTTCTCGATTGCCAATAAAATTTTGTCATTAAGTGGTATTGATCCTTATTATTAGGAAAACTTATTATGAATATAAAAAGTTATGAGTATATCAAGTACTTTCACACTAAAATTTNAAAAAAAAAAAAAAAAAACACACCTCTATGCATCCTGGGTAATGCGTCCAAAAAAATTGTCACGTGCGTGCTTCTGTATGTTGTATATAATAATCTAAAAACACAAAAATAAATGTTGTTGTTTGTTGTTGTTGTGGAGTTATCAGTTATTTCAAATGAATGTTAGCATTATTTTTTGGTTTGAAAATAAAATAAAATTTAAAAATTGAATTTTTTTTCTTCTATAAACAATTTTCCTTTATTTAAATACATTTTAAACTCTACTTACTTCTTGACTTCTTTTTTTGTCAATAGATGGCGATGTGCGTTTAAATTTTAATAAAAATATAATTGCGTTTAATGAGGAAATTTAGTATTTTTCAGTAATTTCATTTTCTCAGCTACAGATGGCGGTAGGTGTATTTTTAAAGTCAAAATACCCATCGCCATCTATCGATAATGAAATGAGTTAAATTTTTGTTACGTATTATGACATCTTTAAAGTACTTTTAATAAAATACTGTTATTACAATTTTTGCACAAATTATACTAATAATACACGTTATACTTGTTATAAACATTAAATGAGTAAAAATAATAATAAAAATTGAGGAAATCGTTTCTGTTTATAAAGTTTATTATTATTTTTATTTTTAAATAAACATCTCCTCCGACATTAGAATGAGCTCGCTCTTCTCGCCAGTAGCGATCCTGGCGGGGCTTGGAGGAACTAGCAGCACGGTTCTGATTATGGCTGTTGGTGGACGTGTTACGTGGAATTTAAACCGAGAAAGAAGTAAAAAAAATTAGAGTAAGGTAAGAATTTTTGCGTTTTTTCGTCGATTTATACGAACGTAAATCTATTACGAGCGGTTAAAATCAATTAATATAAATTATACCACTGTATTTTTAATTAATAGTCATTACCGGTGCTCGGGTTATCGACACATTTCTCTAAGAAACGAATCAGGCCAGCCTCTCACTCTTCCGACCATATTTGTCTACATCACTGTTAAAGATTACATTCCGGATGGTCTGTCAGGTATGTTTGATTAAGTATATGTTTACATGATGACAAAATTCCATAAAATTCGGCATTGGAATCTTTTCTAACTATAATAGATATTTTACATTGGATATAGTTTTGTGACCTGAATTAGTCTGAAATATCTTTTTTACATTGGATCAATGGTAGATTTGTGTGAGAATTATATAAATTAATAGTTATTAATGCATGTACTACTAAAAATGTGTAAAAAAGTTTAAAATGTTGTTATATACGCTGCTATTATTATATTTACTGTAAAAGAATTTTACAGTAAATAAACAAGATAAATGTCTTAAATCTATTAGATCGATGAAATTTGATAGTCGGTGGTATTCAATCTAATCGACTACGGGCGAGCAGTTTGCTCGTCTTGAGTCAGCTTTTCTCATAGCCACCCACAAGTACCATTCGACTACAAAATTTATAATGCTCAAACTTTTGAAAATATTTAGGTAGTTTGCTTAAAAGACAGCATTTTGATAGACACGGTCACGTACGATCGGAATAAGATCTTAATGGCAAAAATTGCAAGTCACTATTACTCTGAATATCAAATACATTAAGAAATTTTATTTGGGTACTTTATAATTTTGAAGGAATCAAAAATATATTACCAAGTAAAATTTAGTAAACTGCATATNATTGTTCAATATTCCACAAGTATACTTATTTCTGTAGCAGTTGGACTGTAACTAATTTCTTTTACTACTTTTTGTGATGAGATAACATTAAATAATTTACCGTTATCTACAAAGCATTGGTTAGCACCCACTGCGATTGCAATGCAATCGCGGTGTGTGCTGGCGGATTAACGTTACAGTATGGAGTTAGATTGACTTCTGAAATAAATAAAAATTTTCTCGATTGCCAATAAAATTTTGTCATTAAGTGGTATTGATCCTTATTATTAGGAAAACTTATTATGAATATAAAAAGTTATGAGTATATCAAGTACTTTCACACTAAAATTTAAAAAAATTCAAAATGTGAAGTTAATTAATTTGGCTTGTGAATGGCTCAATTATCCCATTGCTATTTAAAGATTTGTCGACTCAGGTTACTATTGCACTAATTAGTAGAAAAATTTGGATTATTTAATTAAAAGATTAAACGAATCAGACTGTAAATGGAATCTCTCTCCGATCTGTTATCTTGTATTTAAAGATTATGGATGACTCATAATTATTCTAAATTAAAATTGATTCCCGGAAAGTTTGAAGTCCCGATACATACCATTGTCATTCTTTAACACAAAATTCTAGATGGAAGTAGAGTAAAGGAGAAAAGAGCACAGTTTGGATATGTAGTTAGATAATAAGTACCGTTGGTCAAGGACCGAGGTGGCAAAGATTGCAACCCAATTCAGATTGCAGTCAAATCCAAACAGATGCCGTCAAGAGTATTCGAAAGGAACTGCTAGTTTCACAAATAGTTCTATTTACAATTTTGAATTTTAATTTTTAAATATCTGACATAAACAAAACACACAAAATATGGCAACAGCAAAGAAACACAAATAAAAAGAGAGAGAGCAATTACTTAAGCAGTTTTTTTACATATGTGCTTACATCACTATCTTGCTCTGTTATTATTGTAAAAATATTCTAAAATTACACTTCAAATTTGAATGTCATTTCCTGTTTTATAAATATAAATGATATTTATGTGTGACATTTAAAAACTTTGAAAAATAGTTTAAATTCTGGTTAAATTTATCAGAATTCTTGCACTCGCAATGCCATTTCAAGTACTTACTTATTATTTTTTAAACAAAAATTTTAAAAATTATTAGAAATTTATTTCTATTAGTAGTAGTAATTTATCTGCACGTTTCTATTTTAAAATAATAATTGCAATTTTTTGGTTCATAGGTTATCGACACATTTCTCTAAGAAACGAATCAGGCCAGCCTCTCACTCTTCCGACCATATTTGTCTACATCACTGTTAAAGATTACATTCCGGATGGTCTGTCAGGTATGTTTGATTAAGTATATGTTTACATGATGACAAAATTCCATAAAATTCGGCATTGGAATCTTTTCTAACTATAATAGATATTTTACATTGGATATAGTTTTGTGACCTGAATTAGTCTGAAATATCTTTTTTACATTGGATCAATGGTAGATTTGTGTGAGAATTATATAAATTAATAGTTATTAATGCATGTACTACTAAAAATGTGTAAAAAAGTTTAAAATGTTGTTATATACGCTGCTATTATTATATTTACTGTAAAAGAATTTTACAGTAAATAAACAAGATAAATGTCTTAAATCTATTAGATCGATGAAATTTGATAGTCGGTGGTATTCAATCTAATCGACTACGGGCGAGCAGTTTGCTCGTCTTGAGTCAGCTTTTCTCATAGCCACCCACAAGTACCATTCGACTACAAAATTTATAATGCTCAAACTTTTGAAAATATTTAGGTAGTTTGCTTAAAAGACAGCATTTTGATAGACACGGTCACGTACGATCGGAATAAGATCTTAATGGCAAAAATTGCAAGTCACTATTACTCTGAATATCAAATACATTAAGAAATTTTATTTGGGTACTTTATAATTTTGAAGGAATCAAAAATATATTACCAAGTAAAATTTAGTAAACTGCATATAATTATTATATTATAACTTTTTTTTTCAAACTTAGCTCTAAAATTTAGATACTTTAAGTTGTTTATCCTCAAAATTCAAATCAAATGATCGAGCATATTTCTTATTTGTAGATTAACAATTTAGTTTGTAGTTTGATAAATTCTTTAAAATCATAAATATATCTCATACAATTTATATTAATAAACTTTTTAAGCATTTTCACTATTTTGTCAAACAATGCACTTTTGCACTTAAATCTCTCTTATTTTAACTTTGTAATGATGTTTAAGAGTATCAAATGAATTTTTGTAAATATAAACATCTTAAATATTTAGTTATATATTAAAGTCAAACTACAGCCCAATATAATCTGGCAATTGTTTGGCTTGAATTTTTTAATTTTAAATTCTATGGTATGGCCATTATTATTATTCTCCATAAAATAGGATTAATTATTAAATAGTTATAAATATTAATTGTAATTTCTTCTCTTAATTCTTTAATTGAGTAAACTGCTGCATAATATTTATTGCAAAAAATTTTCTAGAACTGGCGGATGCTTTGGCGAATCCCATTGCCTATCAGTCTATGGTGGAAAAGCACGCCTCGCAGTTGATGGCCTTGACCGACGATGATGATGAAGTAAGTCGTTTTTGTCATGCAAGATCTCACTTGAGATAATTTAATAACATTTTATGTTTTTATGTAAAAAAATTATTATTTTAAAAACAGAGTTCGGTTGACCCAAAGCCGCGAAAGTCCATTGCTTTTGATGCTGGAGGTTCCATCGACAAGAGTCGTGCCAGCATTAGCAGAGAGGAGCCGATCGACCTGGTCGGAACGGCGGGCAGGCACTCTTCCATGAATGGCGGCACCCAGAGACCAAGCGTGACCGGAAACTCTTCACCCGTGTCTCCTGCGCAAAAACCGTCTGATCTTCACGGCACCAGTAAGTTTGAATTTATTTATACTATATGTTTAAAGAATGTTTGCAAAAAATTTCTGCATTAGAAACCCAAATTTGTTTAACTTTGTTGTCTGTTTATTATTGTATTATTAATGAGGTGTTTTCATTTAAGGTACATTTCACATACAAGTAACCCCCGTATAACACGGGAGTTACGTTCCAGAAAATTGCCATGTTATGCGAATCCATGTTATACAAAACAAAGAACTAGTGCAAAAAGGAGGGTTAGGTTCCAAAAATTAAAAAACAAGTTGTTAAATCCTTATTTAAATCGGATTTATTATTCTTTTTTTTTCATAGGTAAAATACTTATTTATTATTTAAGTAAATATTTTACCAGAGGATTATTCATTTTACATGATGATCTCAGCATGAGCATCATCAACCGGTAACAGTTTGTGGGTGCATTCATTAATAGCGGTCGCTCTGCAACGGGAGTGCGCTGCTGTTTGTAGGCATTTAGGAATGATGGTGAAAGAAAGATGGCGGCGCCCGCACTATCGATAGTATCGTTTGGAGGAATCTATAATTCTAAAATGAGCTTTTAGAGGCAAAAGAAGGGTCCCAATTGTATAATTTAACCATTAAACGGATTATTTGTTGAAAGAGCATTCAAAGTAGCCACAAAAACAATTAGAATGCTCATGTCGAGTTACACGGAGGTATAAAAGAACGCACCATTTATTACATTTTATGTTTTACGAGGGTTTTACCCAATTCCCGAACCGTGTTAGAGTGAACCCGTGCTATAAAAACACCATGTTATATGGGGGATGTTCCCAATTCTTGAACCGTATTAGAGTGAATCCATGCTATAGAAGTGTCATGTTAAACGGGGGTTACCTGTACATTAAACCACCTATTAGTAATGTGAAATTTTTTGTATAGTTAAATTAATGAACAGAATGGCAGACGACATTTCATGCATTTTGTCAAACGTAACAAAACTTGTAGGATTAATAATTGCTGTCATTTGCTAGTAATTTTTCATTGTGAATTTTATATAAGTATGTATTTGCATAGATTACATTTATATCATAAATTATTGGTACTTTCAATTGTTGTCGGGCTGAAGTTCACATGTTAAAATTTTATTCTGTCAACTCTATTCTCGTCAAAATTGGCTTGTTGGTAATGAGCGAAACTCGGGCCTACATGGCACTTCTTAATAAATGAAATGCACTTGGTGATGAAATGAAAGTATAACTTGCAAAAGTAGAAGAAATTTGGCAACATCTTAAATGACCAGCCTTGCTTGTTGCACAGTGTGTGACTTTTGCTAATACTCAAAAGTTCTGCTTTCATTTAATTAATTTGTAGGTTTGGATAATTTTCAATTTAGTTATCCTATTAAACCATTTATAAGTTAAAAGATATTGTGAAATTGTTTCCTCTTCCTTTATAGAAGTTATTACGTTGTCGGACAGCAGACAAATACTTTAAACATATATATTTTAAACAATTACATATTAAGTTTAGTTTTCCTGTCCTAATATTGTTTAATACAATTTTTAGTCTACTAATGGATTATTATTATTCTGGACTTAATATAATTCAGTAATGAAGACAAATAAATTAACTTGCAGAAACTACTTTATCTTCTAATGTGCATTTCGAGTCTTCCATAATTTTTCTTTGACTGGAATTTACATAAAAGTATGCCAAGGCCTGTCATCCATACCAATGTGCTTATTAAATCTACTTTCATTACTGACACTTCACCAAACCAAAACAATAAAATTTTTAAAACTTTAACTAAAAACCACACACCTGAAGACATTACAATCAGGTTTTTACCCCAATGTAAAACCATGAAAGCATATAAATACTTTAATTTAGACAATCATTATTACATAATTTCCCAAATCCAAAACATACCTTCCTTGTTTCTAACCTGTTTTCTAACTAAAATGCACATCTACACAAATGTCTGACCTGTATTTTGGGTTGGTGTATTTTTAACACCTCATTTTCACTCATTCTTATCTTCACTTACTTTTTAAATTTAAATATGCTTAAATAACTTTCTTTTATGCAGATTTTCTTTCCTAAGTAATGTCCTCAAAGTATTCAAAGCTGTCTCGCACCCATTTCTATTACAAAGCTTGCAAACTGTTGACATTTTCTGATTTTTTTACAATTGCTCTAATATGTTCTGAAATCCATTCTTTTAATACTCTCTCAGTCTTCCTGTATATGATTTTGGCTACTTATGACTACAATTAAAGGAGGACACTACTCTTGTATTTGTTAAGTCTTGATGTTCTAACCAAGGACTCGATAAGTATCGAACACTCTTATTCTTAAATGTCTGAACTAATTCTATTATAAATTCTCTTATTACTTTATTTAGTTTTTATTTTTTTGAAAATATTAAGTACGTATGGAAAAGGTATATACTTGGAAAGACCNAGGTCGACTAACGGTCAGTTCTAGTATTAAATTTGATCAAACAGGGCAGAGGATACTCTACACGTTTGCAATTTTAGTTCATTTCTCTGATTTATTTACAGAAAACGATGATAATTTAAGCATTCCAGGTTTTGCTTAATGTAATTTTGGTGCTCACACGCGAACAAGAAAGGTCGGAGCAGGATACAGATCTCAGACATCTGTATAGTTTGAAATTTATTTAATGTGCCACGTCTGTTGATAAAAGAACAATTGTTTCATCTATGTATATATATATAAATATAAACTATATATACTTAAGTGTATTTTGTCTCAAAACAACAGCTTTTCTTTAAAAAACATAAAAAAAATGATTGGATGGATATATAAAGTATACATTTATTGGTCATTTATTTTGCATATAATGAATCTATATATATATATATAAAAGAAAATGTATATTTTGTTGGTGTGCTCATCATCAGGGAATGATATTTTTCTTTATTTTCGATTGAATTTTTTGTAATTCCTACTTTACAAGAAGCATGCGTAAATCATTTACCGGAATAATTCCAAAAAAATTGCCACGAGAGTCGAGACACCGGATGCGGAAAACGGTGCGGTTTCTTCTCTTTTTAATGTCGTATCGTCTGAGAAAGTTAAAAACGATTGCATCTCTCGGCGACTATACTCATAATAACCGGTGTAAATAAACATAGAAATATTCTTTCTCACAACATATATATATATATATATATAAGTATATATGTAATACATTCCAAAAAATTTCCCCAAAAAATACATTTTGTGTTTCTGATTTTCCCCTCCCTCTGTAAAGGTGGCCAGAAGACAAAGTCACACTTTCCGGCAAAGAAAAAAGCATCATAGTTTACTAAAAAAAATAAACAAAAAATGTACAGTCAATTATGTGTTTGTACATAATTACGTGCTAATTACATTTATTAAAATGTAATAAAAAATTTAAATATTGGGCTGTGTAACCTGTAAAATCATTCAAAAAATTAGTTTTATGCCATAGAAAAGCATTAATTAGAACATAAAGCTCTAAAAGTCCATGATACAAGAAGGTAATTGGGGAATGTTTTTTTAGATTTTGTATATTTTAAAATCAACCCCAATGATTTTTTGAATTTTTTTTATATTATTATTATTTTACTGGAAAGTACTCAGGTGTTTAACAAAGTTATAGAGGCAAGTAAACTGTTATAATTGCACTATGGCTACACTGCCAAACTGTGATGTGTGTTGTTAATTGTTTTAAAAAGAATATATTTTGACCTTATCTTTCCTTCTTTTTTATATAAATGTTCTTGAAAAATCAGTGGCATTGTTGTTTTTTGTCCGCAGACAATCCATGTACAGAGAAAGGAGCCTGAATGTAAAAAAAAAAAAAAAAAAAAACACACCTCTATGCATCCTGGGTAATGCGTCCAAAAAAATTGTCACGTGCGTGCTTCTGTATGTTGTATATAATAATCTAAAAACACAAAAATAAATGTTGTTGTTTGTTGTTGTTGTGGAGTTATCAGTTATTTCAAATGAATGTTAGCATTATTTTTTGGTTTGAAAATAAAATAAAATTTAAAAATTGAATTTTTTTTCTTCTATAAACAATTTTCCTTTATTTAAATACATTTTAAACTCTACTTACTTCTTGACTTCTTTTTTTGTCAATAGATGGCGATGTGCGTTTAAATTTTAATAAAAATATAATTGCGTTTAATGAGGAAATTTAGTATTTTTCAGTAATTTCATTTTCTCAGCTACAGATGGCGGTAGGTGTATTTTTAAAGTCAAAATACCCATCGCCATCTATCGATAATGAAATGAGTTAAATTTTTGTTACGTATATAATTATAATTATCAAACAGTATGTTGGTGCGTTGTTTTAAATTCTTACCAGTAGATGGCGATAGAAATAATTGTTAATATAAATATAATTAAAACGTGAATTACGAAAGTTAGTTTTACATTTTCATTTAAACATAAGTATATATCACCACTTTTTTTAAAATTAAGTACCAAATAAATTCAAGTTTATCGAAATTATACTGAATTAATTTATAAATTCAGATGTAAAATATTCATAATTATAAACCACAATAACATGTAAACATTTCTTAAATTTTTTAAATCAACCAAATTAAAAAGTTATATTAAAACTTCAGTTTTTAATTAATTAAAATGAAAAGATAATATAAAGTCAAATCCAAATTTCTTTGGTTTAATTATAAAAATAAATGAGGTCATATCGTAATTTAAATTTTTAAACCAGACGATAAAAATTATTGTAAAATATATTTAAAAATTTACAAAACGTAGAAATTAATTTGTAAAAATAAATAATTTGAATTAATTAAACTAAAAATTGAATAAAAAAAGATGTTAAAATCAAATAAATAATTGAATTCGTTAAATTGCAATCAACGTCATCTGCAAAAAACAAAATTAAACTTGTACTAAATAGAAAATAAATAAATCGAATTTATAAAACTTTAAAATATTGAATAAAAAAAAAATATTTCACGAATGGACATTTAAAAAAATAATAATAAAAATTGAGGAAATCGTTTCTGTTTATAAAGTTTATTATTATTTTTATTTTTAAATAAACATCTCCTCCGACATTAGAATGAGCTCGCTCTTCTCGCCAGTAGCGATCCTGGCGGGGCTTGGAGGAACTAGCAGCACGGTTCTGATTATGGCTGTTGGTGGACGTGTTACGTGGAATTTAAACCGAGAAAGAAGTAAAAAAAATTAGAGTAAGGTAAGAATTTTTGCGTTTTTTCGTCGATTTATACGAACGTAAATCTATTACGAGCGGTTAAAATCAATTAATATAAATTATACCACTGTATTTTTAATTAATAGTCATTACCGGTGCTCGATCGATATAAATATTTAATTATATAAGATTTTAATAAAAATATGAAAATTTATAAGGTTTTTTAAGTTTAAAAAATGTGTAAATATCTTAAATTCGTCGATATAAAGAGTTAAATCGTAAAGAACAGCAAGATGAGATCCGAGACGATGATGATGATGATGCTGCCTAACGACGGATCTTTTGATATTTTATGAATTTGACGAGATAATTGCGATTAAATATGAATAAATAATGATTGAAGATGCATAAAAAGAGTTAACGACACGAATTGATTAAAAAAAATCTATTTTTTCTACTTATTTTCGGCGAAGAGTCGATAGAATGCATTATATTAAATGATTATCTGGATGGGTATGAAGATGATAACGTGTTTTTATCTTTTATATTTCGATCTTGAAAATGTCGATCGATTTTCTGACATGGAGATTACTAATCTGCTAAATTTGAACGTTATTTACTTTATTCCATTTAGGCTATGTTTGATATATCGAATTTTTCCGATATTTTTTTTCATCCTCCTTCATTCGATTGAATTGTGATGAACGGGATAAATGTAGTAGAGTTAATGCTTCCCGCATCGTAAATTAATACAAATATCTAATTATAAATTGCTTAAATGGAGTCTAATGTATATTTTTATCGAGTTTATTTCGATTTTTATCGGATTTATTCTTAAAATGTGAATATAAATCGCCATTTTGTTCTCATTTGTGTAATTTACTCCATCGTCCGAGTACGTTGCGGCTTCGATGGGGTTGGTGTATTTATACAAATATACGACGATAAATAGCTTATGTGACGTTTAGTTTATACATTTTTTATTCGTTTCAGTCGTAAAATATGGACGAATGTCGCCATTTTGTGTCAAATTTATACAATTTCGTCTCATTTGCTACATCATCCGAACGTGTTGCGACTTCCAGAGGATCATCAATTTATATAAATATCTGATGACGAATGGCATAAATCGTGCTTAATGTAGGTTCTTAACAGAATTTATTTCGTTTTTTTTATCCGTATTAACCTTAAAATATGGATATACGGCGCCATTTATTTCCTCTTACGCCGTCGTACGAATGGTTAATTTCTAAGAATTTCAATGCAGTTTCTCAGTTTAGAAATACGTAAATTAAATTTTGATTTGATTGTTTGATTCCGAAAGCGGTTTTTTAAATTAAATTATTAAGTTTTTTTTGTATACAATTCGTTTCTTATCGAAAAAGTAGAGAGACCAACTTATCCACTTCGTAACGCTGTGATTATTGTAGAATTTAATCCTTCGACGTCGGCAAATCTAGATTAATTCACTAAAACAGCATTTTATTTTTAAATTTAAGCTGTAAGACGAAGGGGAAAGAGAAATATCTATTCTTCCGGTAGCAGAATTCATTTTTGTATACAACAATTTCTATGTTCTTTCCTTTGAAAGTGAAGTTGAATCTGTCAGAAACGGGAACAACGATGTCATTTTTCATAGCAGAAATGGATCCATGCGTAACCGCTTTGCAAAGAGGATCGGATCACTTTGTAAACTCTTCCTTTTTTTTTCAAACAGGTTATCCTTTGATCAAACCAATTTTAAAATAAATCCATTGATTATATTACTTTAAATACAACCCTTTATATTATGATGAAATCCATAAATAAGTGTGTGAATTTTACTAGTGAATGAGTGAAGTGTTGTAAAAGTGCTTAAATTCGCTCGAATGTAAGGATTTTTTAATAAAATAAATATCAATAATTTAATTTTTTACAATACAAATGAAGTTCTTACTTTAATGTTTTTAAGACTTTCATTTTGTTAAAAATGAAAAATTTCTGAATTTTATATGAGTGAAAAATGTTTTGTGCTGTAAAATATTCTGTATTTACCGTGCATAAAGAACACATTTTTATGATAAATATGTGGAAAGATGCTCTAACTCCACAAGAAAAGGTATACGTACATTCTAATAAAAACCTTTCTTGCAAAAAATCAATAAAAATAGAAATAAATTAGCAAATAATTCTTTGATTTGCTTCTAAGAAGACACCGAATTTGTTATTTGTTTTTGGAAACATAATTTACAAAAAAAAAAAAACTTTTTAATGCGGTTTATTACGAACGAAAAGCTCATTTAATAACCCATATTTTGTGTATTTTATTTGTATTTTTGGATCTCGTTCAATGCCACTCTCGTGTATTTTTTCGAAAGGGGAACAGAGCCATTAATTAATTTCCGATATTTATCCTTTATTTTAAATTTTAAAATTAAAGAAAACTAAATTTTGCTTATTTAAAAGTCATCCTTTCGTTTCGAGACATTTCTCTAAAATTAACGGTTCCCTTCAAAAAAGAAACAAACTCGGATTCCTCCGATGTTATACGTATTTAGGTTAGGCGAGTTATCTGGCATTGACCCAAAAAGAAATGAAAGGAAATATTAACTTTATCCATAAATCTCGGTTCCTAATTTTTCCAAAAAATTACTTATTTTGCCAACAGTTTCTTTAAAAAATCGACTCCTCAAACAGAATAGACTTTACGCCTCTTCCCGTTGTGAACCGGTGTTGCATTATTCACGCATTTTCGGATATTTTTATTTAATTTTCGGAATTCCAAACATTTTTATCAGAAACTTCGATTTCTAATTTCCAAAAAAAAAATCCAACAAATCGAACAGGCTACGATCTACGCCGTTCTTACTCCAGACACGTTTTACGCACTTCTACTCGCACGTTTCGGATTTTTTTTATTTTAATGCGAATTTTTTAGAATTTCGAAAGGATATTTCGACTTTTTAGAACGTCTGTTAACAATTTTAACGTCATCCGATTTTCCAGAAAGTTCGGAACATTTTTTTTTTAATTCCAGTTTATAGAATTCCAAAAATTCAGGCAAAAAGTCTGGATCTTCAATATTTTTCCAAAATAAACTTAATTTTATTAAAATATTCTTATATTATAGAATAACCCCGAAAAATACAAAATTTTGATTCGATTTTCTGTATTCGTTTAGTTTTTCTCGATGTTTTTGGAATTTAATTTTCGCTTAAACGTCATTTTCTTCGATCTTCGGTATCCGGATAATCGATTGTAATGATTGTGACTTTTGACAATGATTTAACAAGAGCAAAAAAGAAGAAAAAAATTTTAAATGATCAATTGCTTGGTAGATAAAAGTCTTTTTTAAAAGTTTTTTAAAGATTAAAATCGATTTTTTGTATTTTCTTCCGATCGTGTAACCCGGATTAATTCGTTAATTTGAACGAAATTCGTCGGCTCGACGAGATGTTTTAGAATTCTGAAGCGTGTACTGTATATTTTTTAAAGAAAAATCAAAAGAAAATAAAGTGTTTAAAAAATACCGAATAGTTGATTTTCTAAGGAATTCTTTAGAAAACATCTTAAATTTTAGGAGAGAAGCTTCGGTTTTGCCGAAAAAAATTTGAAGAAAATCAACCGAATTTTCGGCCAAGTTTTTTAAGTTGTTGAAAAATAAATTGAAATTTTCCAGCCAATTCGAAGAAAATTGTCGACAATTCAAAAGACGAAATTTTCGTTGAGAAATTGAATGACAAAATTCAGAAATTTTCGTGATTTTAAGCTACAAAAAGTTGAAGATTAAATTTTAATAATTTAAAATTAAGAAATAAAAATCGTTGAAAAACTGATAATCTTGTTTTAATTTTTTTTAGTAAGAAAAATAAAATGTTGAATATTCGGAAAATTGTCGAAAAATTTCTTTTAAAAGATCTGATAGAATATCGAGTTTTGATGTAAAAGAAAAGCTTAAAAAAATTGGAAAATTTGTTGGAAATTTTGATAAAATGGCCGAAAATCTTTAAAAAGTTTTAAGATGTGCGAAAAAAAAATAATTGAAAATTGAAAGAAATTGTAAAATGTGAAGAAGTGTTGGAAAATGTAGAGAAAATATTGAAAAACAACCGAAAAAATTGTTTAAAAAACAGCAGTGTTGAAAATCCGAAGAAAGTGTCGAAGAATACCAAACGACCGATAATTTAATTGTTTCGTCGTTTGTTATGACGAAATTAAAAGAAAATCCAGTTTAGAAATTCCTCATTTGCGTGAATTTCGGTGTCCAAAATATAACTTTTACAATCGAAATGAATACAAAGAAAAGAAATCAATAAAGTACGTCTTCCTTCGAAAATAAAGCCAAGGAATGCATTTGTATTTTTTTTTTCAAAACATGCAATTTTTCGAGTTTGTCGCGGAGGAAAAATACACAAAAAAAGTAAAAATAGTAATTATAAATTGATTAGTTTTGAGAGACGAGTTGTAACTAATCGATAATTTGCTCCTTAATTATGTTTGAAGAGGTAATTAAATCTTATATAATTCGTTAGCAATCCGTAGCTCGCGGGCCACGGGTTGATATTTATAAATACTTAAAAATAGAAAAAGCAATAATCAACCTTTACTTCGCACCCCCACTGATCGAGAAATTATTTATAAGTGATACCGTTTAAAAATAATTGCTTAGTTAATTTTAATTTCCGTTTTCGTCAACCGGTAACCGGCCAGCGCGAGGATGGTACTGTACAAGTTATCGCTACTTATCAAATTTTAACCTAGTTTTGAGGAATTAAAATATTTTTTTAAATAAATTTTTTAATTTTGTTCTTCCTCGGACCGTAACCCACGAACTATCGGTCGAGAAGCGAATGTATAGATAAATCGAAGAGCTACTTACCATCCTTTAGCTTGCGGTCTACCGGTTGAGGAATTAATGTGATTTTTAGAATAAAGTGGATCGCGTATAACAAAATCTGTTTTTTTTTTTTTTTTTTTTTAATAAATATTTGTGTGTTTTAATACTTGTTTAGATAATTTAAAATAAAAATGTGAGTAGATTTCTTAGTTATTATTTTTTTTTTATTTTTTTGAACAGCTTATTCATCAAAATTAAAGCTTGGTAATCCTATCTGCTAATGGAATTAAAAGAAACTTTATGGGTTTCTTTCTTACATATATTGTTTACAGCTTACTTAAAAAGATTATGCATAAGATGGAGTCCAATTAGATGAGAAGGGGGCAAGATGACCAAGGCTTTCGACTTTAACTGGCGTGTGCAAATACCTGAATTATTACTGAATGGATGCAACTTCGATCTGTGGGAAGAGGTGAGGAGATTTCCTTTCTTCTTTCTCTGAAAAAACGCATTTAAATTTTTTACAAGATTGTAATTCTTTGACGTTTGTACAGCTTTTATTGTCGCAGCTGCGGTCGTTTCTGTTTTATTGATACGTTCCGTCGCTCGCTTCGCACAAAATCTATTTTTTTCACGATGTTCTATGATAAAATTTTGAATTTTCTTCTTGTAATTATCATAAAATTTCTTTTTTTTAACTTTTTTTTGTTTAAACATCTCTAAATTAAAAAAAACTCCCAGCAACGAGTTGCGTAACTTTCCCCGCAGAAGAGTTAAAATTATGCCTGGCGCCATCTGAGATTTTATATTAAAACTTTTTGTATTATTAATTATTATAAAGTGGCAAAATGCTTAATTTCGAGGGTAGAGACGAGTTTTATTTAAAAATAATTGTAAATGCTAATAACCAGCAAAATCTGACTTCGCTCGAGATATGACACGTGACTCCCTCTATCTCTCTACTCCCTCGACCTTTAACCACCAAAATTTAATATCGTCGATCCCCCTAATACATAAGTTTCCCTGCCAAATTTCGGAAATTTTCGACCAAAGGAACGGGAGTTATTAAGCTTGAAAGTGGGTAAACAAAATCGTGTCCCACACACCCATACATGTATACTGTACATACAGAAAAAAATCCCCAATTTTTTGCATTTCTCAACGTTTTGAGGTTTTCCGAATAACAAAATGTAATATCTTGAAGGGACATTTTTTGATCCATCGCCATACATTCCCCCGTTGCATATATAACATCTGGGAGAGTAAAAATTAATAAATATTTTAGACGTGCACGTTCGTGTTTTCTTCGTGAAAAACCCGAATAAAGAAGCTAACAAAATTAAAATATATGAGTTTTTTTTGTAAATTTATAAATCGTTTTATTTTATAGGAAAAAGAACAACTTGTTTACGAACAGAATGCATTTGTTAGAGTTGACGAATTCGGCTTTTTTATTTACTGGAAGAGCGAAGGAAAAGTAAGTGTCACGCTTTATATCAAATTAATGTTTAGAGTTGTTTAGAAAGTCGGATTAATTATTTAAGGGCATTTAAACTACCATAAACTACCTTCCAGCATTGTCGTTATTTTAGTTTCTGTAAGATTCTACGAACAACGGTCGGAGAAAATATTGAATTTCTGAACGATTTTATTGATAGACAGATGGAATTTAATAATTATTTAACGAGAAAAAACTTAAAATATGTTTAAAATATTCTGAAAATCTGGTTTTATAGAAAAACTTCACTCTTACAGAGTTACATTATTTATGAAAAATCCAATTTTAATCCTCGGAAAGTAAAAATAGGGATGATTTCAAGAAAATATCTGTTAAATTGTGTGCATTTTTAACAGAATTGGATAAATGTTTTAAATTTATTTTATTTATTTTAATACGTTTTATTATGTTAAAAAAGTAATGATATCTTCTTTAGTTTCTTGAATATTCTTGGTTTATTCTATGAAAAGCGGCATCTGTCACGCGATGTTTTGATGTTAAAAACGTAATTTCTAGGTTAAAAAGATGGAAAAAACACGCTATTTAAGGTTATTAAATGAAGAAACACACGTTAAATAACTGTTCTAAATTACTATTACTTCTACTCCGCTCTCTCCTCCCAAATGCGCTTCAAGAAATTCATTTTGTTTTTAGATTGAAACTGGACACCGATACAACTTTTCTTCTTTCTGAATGGAACAAATGTTCTCTCGAATTGATAAATATTCATATTTTAAAACGGAGAAAAGATATTTTGCTGAAGATGTAATTTGGTTGACGGTCTGATAAGCCAGGAGAAGAAACACGGAGCCGAAAGACAGCCATTGACGACACGATCCTTCTCCTCGCTTCCGCTTTATTAAGCGTAAATGGACGAATTCGTAACTTTAATGTAAATTAAATTCAAAAAGATGCGACGATTTTTTGAATTTCGTGGTCAGTCGAGGGTGGGAAGTAATAATGATAGATATTTCGCAAAATGATGTTTTACAATTATGGCACACACGTACAGTACACTCTCCCGTAACACGCTGGCATTCTTAAGATTAAGGATATGAGCTCGTTATGAAAAATGCTGTTAAATTGGAGTCGATTTTTTATTTCAAGCCAAATTTTTCGGTCGTTTAGACGATGATCTCGATTTTCAGAATACCGAAAAAAGGCGAGGTCGCTCGGCCGTACGGTTGGCTATCATTTAGGTCGCGATATATTGGTTTGGTCGGAAATATTATTCCGAAACAAATTTCCTGTAATAAATTTAAATATATTCATTTTAATAATAAGATTTATCGTAAAATCTCTACACATGACGGCAAATTACTTCTTCCCCAATGCTTTTACGTCGATTAAAATATATGTTGAATTTATGAGATAAATATATTAATAGAATAAAATATACGGTAATAATAATAAAAAATATATATTTTTTAATAAAATTTACTTATATGCCACGAATTATTATTATTATTTATTCTACGCTAACCCAGTTTCTATTTTTGATGATAACGCATAAAAAAGTTTCAAATCGATAGCTGGCAACACTTTCGCGAAGATTTAAAAAATTATTTAGAAACGAGCTAGATATTAAAATATCATTACTATTTAATATCTTTTATAAATAAAACATAAATTAGAAGAAACATATAAATATTTATTATCGTTTTTAGCCTTTTTTTGTATGTAGATAGATTTTTTTATTGTACTGTATCTTAAAAAAATTTATCTCCGCAAGGCGCCACCAATTGGGGAAAAAACGAATTAAGTTAACAGACAGACGACAAAATGCCGTCTGCTTATCGATATTTCTTTTTTTCCCCAATGTTTAATCTTTGATTTATTTGTTATGTTGTATAAATGAAACGAAACGATTAAATTGATACTATTTTTACCTTTAGGACGGCCAGTCGTTGGAATTAACGCAAGTGAACGATATCAGGCAAGGCGGAATACCAAAGGTGAAAGAGATTTTAATTATTAATTTATTAACATTTATTGATTATTTTAAATATAGTCGGTTAAATCAATAAAGAATGTCTCTTTCCATGGCAATAAATTGCCAGAGGATATCTTTTCTCGTGTGACATTGGTCTGTCCGTCTTTTCTTTACTTGACAAAGTGTTTCTCCAATATATTGGATATAGGAAAAAACATAAAAATCATCATTACTCCTTCTTCGCTCGTACACACGACAAACTCTTACTTAAATTTACATACGTTGCAGCTGGATAACTCCATTTTTATACGTTAATAAGTGCAATTATCCAGTTATATGTTGCGTATATATATAAGTTTATTGATTTTATATAATGTCGGGTGACCGAATAAATAATGTCTCGTTGAAATGTGAATAAAAATGCTTGTATTTTTTGTTTAAAGTTTTATTTATTAAAATATTCGCCTTTACATTCAATTATAGTTTCTGAATGTAAATATTTTGATGAATAAAATTATTTTAAACAAAAAGCTCAAGCGTTTTTAGTCATATTTCAAAAACGACATTATTTATTTAGTTACCTGATATATACGAATGCATTTTAGATAAAATTGCTTTATATTTTATATACGACAAATTCTTATCTAAATTTACACATTTTACAAGTTGTTATAATTGGATAACTAAGTTTATATATGTAAAGTGTAGCTCAAAAGTTAATAATTGTAAATACTAAACTGATGACGACAGAAAGCACACTCGGCAGAGAGAAAAATATTCACCACTTTATGACATTCTGTGTTCCGTACTCGAAGATGGGCTATAAAATGGGTTGAAAACGTTTGCGAATATTTAAATAAATCATTTTTCGGGGTTTATAAAGTGGTTACGTATATTTGTTGGCTAAATTGATGTTACGCTATTACTGATACCTTGCAAAAATTGTTCAAACTGAGATCCCTCCTCGTTAAATATACAAATTACAACGCTTTGTTATGTTCTCGTAAATTGAATGGCTTGCGGACAGTGCGGTTATTTGACTTTTGGGCTATTTTGTATGTGTAAGTATATAGTTTGCCTGTATGGGTGTGTAAACGTACATAAAATTGGATAATTCCGAATATTTCTATAAATAAATGGACTTATCTAATTTTATTTATTTAGATAAGTCCTAACTATTAACCAGTGTAACAGAATAATTCCAGTTATTGAAATTATCAGTTGTGCTTTTTTATTATAATAATGCGATTTTGATAATCGTGTCTAAACAAATTATATTCATTATGTTTATACAATATTTTGTATGTTACATATTTTGATGATTGGATTAGGGTGCGGAATCGTGGAATTAGAAAACCCGGATGGCATTTGATTATTTCGTATATTTCCTTATTTGTGGAAATGTACTGATAAAATATTTTCTCCGTGTACTAAATTTATGGGATTAAATTAATTAATAAAAAAAAAAGGCGAAATATTCACACTCACATTCTATTACTGTCGCACCGCATTTCCCATTTTGTTAGCGGATATAAGACAATGTCATAAGCTCACTTTAATGAATTTTAATTTAAAAATAAAATTTATAAGTTTATATCTCTTTCAGTTACGTTTCAAATTTATCGCGTTACTTGTTTGTTGTTGATTTATATAATGGAAGACTTTGGCGTGAAGTATTAAATAATGTTTCACGCCAAGATCGATCCACATTAGTAAAGATCACACGCTAAGATCACATTAGCAGCATATTTTAGAAATATTGTTATGTTTGTTTGTAGCACGAAGACTGCACAGCTTTATTATTTTAGTATGTATCATATTAAATCTCAAGCGAAGAAAATAACCAAATGCTTGTTTATAAATTGTAATATAGTCTATCTTTTTCGATAAGAAAGACATATTTTATTGTACATTATAAAATTTCGGGCGTAAGATTTGTCTCTCTCGTATAAAAATGTGATAGAAGATTTAACTGCGCACAAAATTCTTATGGGTGAACATTTTAAGACTGTTTTTACGCTTGAAAATTTTATTAAATTTTCGTAATGGGGCCTAAACTCGACACGTTAACATTTCTTTTACATTACGAAATTAACTTATAAAAATTTGTAATTTTAATTAAGGAATCATATATGTCTAACTGGCGAATTACAACAGTTCATTCATAAATCACAGAGCCGTGACGTCTTATTTAGTGTACGCTGTAAGGAAGATTTAGAGGAAATGTCGTGTAATTTAAAATTGGGTTTTTCTGTATTGTTGAGGATATTTTTCGACGATAGCGTTCATAATGTAACATGTTTTTTGTATACGTTAGTTTTAATAGATGTTTTGTTTGGCGACGAATACGGCGATCATCTCGATAATGCTGCGAAGGTGAACAAAGTCTCGCTACAAAATGAAAGCTTATTAATGCAACTTTTTAAGCAGACACGACTGACACGGACTAAATATCTACGCAGATAAGAAGTTATATTTTTGAATTTGTAATTCCGTTGCGCACGAATTTTAATGTCACTCGTCGTTTATCAGATTAATGTAATTGCTCTCTCGTTAGTCGTCGTTTAGTGTGTAATAGTCAAATTAGCCAAAATCTTAGAAAAAAAATCGTAATTTAGTAAACTAAGTTTATAACTATTAAATAATAATAAAATGTTTATGAAATATTCTACACTTAAATTATCCTGCAATCTATGGACAATTGTTTAATGGAAAAATGCAACCCTTAGAGAAATATAAAATTATTCTACCAATGAAATCGGTCTTTCGTGTTAAAATCCACTAACATTTTAAAGAAATTTTATTTTTCATTTTTTTAACGTTTGGTTAATAAATCCGGAAAGTATTTACGTAGAGATTAATTCTAAAAATAGATAATAGAGGTATTTAATCCTTTCGTAAATACTTGCCAGATTTATTGATCAAACGTTTAAAAAATAAATAAGATTAGAAATTTAATATATTTTAGCATTATTTTCATTTTGTCAAAATATCATTTTTGTAACGTTCTGTTTGAAAATATCGATTTTCAAACAGAATATTACAACCAACAAGTTTCATAAAAACAATGTTATAACTCCTCACGTTTATTTCACATAAGCTAAAATTATTACCTAAATCACTGATGAACCCGTAACCCGCGCGACGATTTCGAGGCACCCGCATCGAATGTTTAGGCAGTGTCAGGTTTTTAACTTTTTTCAGATTTTTTAAAATATATTAAATATTGAAAAATGTTCACCAAAAATCACACTGGGTCTCTGAGACTCACTGTGAGGATGGATGGCTTAGTTTTCATATAGAAAAGTTTAAATATTTCTTTGACAAGGTCAAACTAGCTTCAGAATCAAATCAATTTCATTTATTCCCAAACACTAATAATTTCAAAATTTGTTTTATTAATTGTGTAAAGGCATTCTTTGGATATGCTTGTACTGTATTGTACATAATATTTTTTAAAATCATTATTCTAACAGTTTATCACTCAGCAATAATACTCAACGATACAAGAAAGAACTGTTTTGGGATTTTGTGTTAGTCAAATCATTAATCCATTTGATATTTTCAGCTAACAATATGTAATAGCAAACATGATATTCTTAAAGGCTTTTTGTGGAAATATTTTAAAAATATATAATCTAAATCTCAATAACATGAGGAAAATAAAGACATAACAAGAAACCTATATTAGAAATGAAAAAAGAAAGAAAACTGATTAAAATCTGGATTTGAAACAACTGTTCTTTCATCACTAAACCCCTTCACATTTAATAGATGTTCAATGTTCTTAGTAGTGAACAGTTGGTCTTTTCATCATTTAAATTGGAAATTTGAAATGTCACTGTAACTTTAGGGAGATATCCAGGAATTATTTATTGTGACATTGTCACAATGCCAGACTGCAATTTTTAATCATATTTTTAATTTATTTAACTTAAACTATATGTTCTCCACTTCAAATTTTTAGTAGTGGCTTACCCCTGTACATCATACTTTTCCTTTAATGATAGAATCATGCCAGTCATTTTCTAACATCTTTCATGGAAAAATTTTTGAACTGAAATAACAAATTCTGGTTTACACCAGAAGTTTGTATATAGTTAATCGGGACCGCCTGCCCCTAAGGTTTCCCTATTTGGTCTCATCTTTTATCTATCTAACTCCATTCTCAAGATTAAAGAAAGACAGACAAATGATTGTACAGACGGATGACAGTGGACATTTATAGGTATACAGTTTTTTCAAATTGCAGCCCCATAAAAGAAAGTTGTAAGATAAAATGAAAATCTACTTTTGAAACATTACAGTTGTGGTCTTCAAGCTAATTTTACAAAATAACTGCAAAATCCATGTTCAATCTCAAATAATAATGTATAATTTAATTCTTTTATAATATTTTGTGTTAAATATTATTTTTTTAAAACATGTTAACTATTTTAAAAAGTCCTTAGTATTTTTTCAAGTGTCAATATCTAATACTAAACTTGCATATACACACACTACTTTTCTTGATTATTTTGTTACATTATAGTGATATTATTACTTTGTTTTACCGAGAAAATTTTTATTTTTCTACTTCATTATTTAATCAAAATTAATTTTTATTCTGTTCATATTTATGACAGATTAATTGTGATTTCTTTATTATATGCTAATTTAATTAAGAATGTTTTTATTTTCCTATTTTTGTACATTGAGTTTCTTAGCATTGGGTCCAATGCTCATAGTAAACTTTAATATTTTTTCCATCTTCAGTTCTATTTAATAATATTGCAGTTGTAAATATTATCATTCTTAAAGATATAAAATTATTAAAACTAAAGAAATTAGTAACAAATAATTTCTATATATTTATTGTATAATTGGCTAATTAAATTGAATTAATTGGTTTTATTCAAAGAGTTTAAGGGAGGTAATTACTTATTCTTTTGAACAATACCTTATGTAATTTTTAAAGAATAAAAAATGAGTATAATGCTCATGGCAGCACAATGTCTTTGTATTGCCTGAATTTAAATTGTATAAAAAACCATTTTGTATTTTCAGCTATCTCAGAAAAGGATTCTGTATGAATACAATTATTCTAGTTAATGCTTTTTTTATCCAATTTTACTCTAATTAATAAATAACAACAAATCTATCTGAAAAGCAACAAATTCTTAAGGCCAGTGGGCAGTACAGTTAGAAAAATGACTGTGCTGCCTACTGGTCTTAAGAACTTGTTTTTTGACAGGGATGACACTGAATGTACAGTACATGGACAGGTTCAAATCATCTCTGTTGATTGCCAAGGCTGAAATAAATGATTGGTGGAACCATTGTTGATACTGATTGTTGTCTCAAATTATGTCACTTGCACTTAAGTTTAGAGTTATAATGGATGCAACTTTGAGATTAATGAAGTTCTCTACAAGTAAACATAATTACT